CAGTCTCCGTCCATTCGTTACAAAATGTGAGCGTATCTTGCATGTCAACCGCGTGTTTAAAGTGTGTAGACATTCATTTTCTTAATACAGGTACAGCGCTTCATTGTACTTTTTAACTGATTTGGCCTTTGTTAATATTTTTCTATTTGCAGCCCAAACTAGAATTCTTTGAAGTCTTTTTTTTTCGAATGATATTTTTATCAATATATTTCAGTCCGCAGATGCTACCCGAGATGGTGACTTTATTCGTGCAAGATCAGAAGCAACAACTGCAAGAAACTTATCTTTCGCTGCCATAGTTGTTGGCATCATCGGGGGTATAATATATGCCATTCTCATCAATCACCCTAAATGAGAATTTTAAAACTAACTATATATAATTACAATGATTATAATAAAGGAAGATTGACGAACATTTGATTTAAATAAGATTGTATTAAAACTCTCACAACATAGTTGATGCTGTACTTTTCAAATTGTCTTTGATATTAATTATAGCTATTATAATGATGATATTCATAGTTATTTTAATGGGATAATTTGACAGCCCATGCCTAATAACTATATATCCATCTAAAGATGTTAGTATAGAATTCAGTCTCTCTTTGATTCGCCATATTAAATATCACTGAGTGTAGATCTTTGTGTATGAGTCTTGATTTTTTATCACCATATCGGCATTGTAGTCCAGGCTTTACCTGTCATCCCTTAACTGGCTGGTGTTCATATTTCCTCACTGCCTTGTGTTATATTGCTTTCTTAATGAATAGTTAATTAACTCTTCTCTTTACTACATAATTATAATAGATTTAATTGACTATACTCACAATTTTGTACTCACAAGTCACAATTTCGTTCTCACAATTCATAATTTCGTACTCACTCACAAATTCGTACTCATAATTTCTTACTCACAATTTTTTCGTGAAATGGATAACTGTACTAATGTGCTTTTTGTTTGTATTTTTCTCTTGTTGGGAGATTAAAATGTTTTCGTTTGTTTGCGAGACTTGACACCGCTTCCACCGAGGTTGATAGCACAGTTAAAATTATAATGTGTAAAACATTCTTTAATCTAGCTTAATTTACAATACCGTGATGGTTGGGCTTTATAGTGGGGCGGTTAAGGAAAATTTTTTGCTAGAATCGTGCATTTTAGGTTAAAAGCATGAAACTTGGCATATAGATGGCACCAACCCTACTGATTATTTTGGGATGTGGATCCACCTCAGCAGCTCCCCCTGGTGGTCGTTACGGCCATCTGTTCCAAAATGGCCGCCTATTCATTGATATATATATAACAAGGGGTGTCACAATAAGACATTTTTTTACAAATCATTTCAGGCCAGCAATTTCCAGATGTAAAATTGCTAGCTGAACACGATTTTTGAAAAAAGATTTATCTATGACGTCATTTTCGTTTGGGGTTTGCCTGATTTCAAAAATGGCCGCCAAAATTTGAAGAAAAATGAATTTCCAGATAGGATGGGTGATTATCACGCAATGCATGCCTTGTAATATATCAAATATAAGGTTTTTGTTGTAATTGAACTAAAAAATAATCTCTAAAACTAGTTTCCCCAAATCCAAGATGGCGGAAATTCAAAATGGCGGCCAAAATATACCCAAAATGGCGGATTGATCAGATTAAAGTCATTTCACTGTTTGATTTGGTTCTATGTGAAAACAAAATATCAGCAGATCAATCGTGTTAGGGAAATTATTATAGCAGTGCATCATTTGGCTTAGTAACCGATCATAATTAATTACGTCATATTTGACCAAGGGTAGAAAACCAACAGAGCACTAGCCGTTCGACAGACAGTCGTTAAATTCGGGAGAGACCGCCGAGATACAAGAGACACCAGCTGGGATGAGAAGACACCATTAATTTGTAGGAGAGCCATATGAAGTAGGCATTCCGTCAGTAAATTCTTTCTGCAAATTAAGGGGTGGAGAGGAATAGATGTTAATTTTAAGTATTGTAATGTAACCTATGCTTGTAACCTATGTATTCCGGCGTGATATAAAATGTAGAAACGAACTGTAGCTTGTACCTGGTAGACAAACTAACTACTGAGATAGTAAGAAGAATACACACAACGCGAGTCCTAGCCAAAAGAGAAAGAAATAGGGTTTAACGTCCATTCGACACAAACTAGGTCATTTCGGGACTAACACATGGTTCAATTTTATTTCAATAATTCGCTTGCGCGTACGTGTCTCTAGCAGTGGCAGGAAACCCGGGGAAAACCCGCGAGGTTGGACAGGCGACCCTACTCCTTGTCACGTAAAACCGGGGAATCGAAACCCCGCCAGTTGACTCAATGACATGTGCTAACCATTCGGCCATCCAACCCCCAAATAATAGAAGATCACAAGGCTATTTAAATATGTAGCAGAGAGGAGAGTATGAGTCACTCGTTGGGTGTGTTTTGGGTTTTTTTTTTTTTTTTGGTTTTTCCAGCTCTAGCCAGGTTCTCATAGCACTGCATATTTTACAGCACCACTGAGAACACTTCCAGCCCCGTTCGTTGCTCTGAGCTAGTTACGGCCCTGACCGTATCTCATACATTTCATAAGTATAGCTCATTCCATATGAACTCGCCCTTGTTAACGAGAAAGCGGCATCGTTAGGACTTCAAGTAGTTTCCTTGAACTTAATTCGACTCTGTTCAAGTGCTTTGCTGATCCGTCCTGCAGCACCGACAGGTGTAGCCAGCCCGGTACAAAATCCCGATGACGATGATTTTTTTTTCGGTCAACAACGGGATCGAACACGATAGATCAAGGTTAGGGAGCCAATGTCTTACTAACTGACCCCCACCCCCACCCCCCTGCCACGCAAGTGATGCGCTGTTCGCGCTAGAGCGGAGAAAGAATGCTACCGGAGAGACAATAGTAAGTTCACCAAACATGAACAAACCTCCATAAAACAAACCCGCCCCTTTTCTTGGAGATGGGGGCCCTTTTATTGTACTGGGGGGCCCTCCATTGGGTTTGTGGGCCCTGCCTCAGGGGTTTCATATCAAATTTTCTCACCGGTTTCAGTGTTTTCTTTCAGTTTTATTGTTTGAGATTTTTAAAACGAAATTAGGGTCGGAGACTGGTGCCTCCGCTACTGGACACTTGGATTTTTACTGTAATATTGTTTTATAAATTTCTTTGGCAGAGCTGCAACTCTAGGACAAATGAGATAACTGATCAACCCGCGTGTCTGCTATAACAGTGAGGACATCCCCACTTGCTTTTTGGGGATTGTCACTATTTACTTGCATATGCTGTTTATGCTGTTTCTTCCTAGATCGGATATCTTTTGTGGTTAGAGCGTTCACAAGGTTCAACAAAGTGAAACAAGGGCCATAACTCCTGAACAAATTAAGGGAAATTATTGAAATAAAATAGAGTTCTTCATCTCACTGATGTAAACAATATATATCAATTTCAAAATAATAGTTGATAAATGTAGTCTGTAGAGCTTGACAAGAAGTTGTGGACAACAGATGGACCAACCGGGCAACAATCATGGTATTACATACTTTTACACTATTTGAGTAATGGAGCGGCCATGTTGTCTGGCAGTTTCACCCAGATTTTCATGAAATTTTAACTCAATCATCACTATGGTTTAACAATGACATATTTAAACATTTTTTTTTTTAAATCGTATAAAAATTCTAGAGGTTCCACAAGCTAAAACGCAATTTCTCGTACCATCAGGGGCCATATTCCCGGACGTTACGGTCTGAAATGCAGGAATATCGAAAAGAACTGAGATGTTTGGGAGATAAACCTATATTTCAAGTATCATCAAAATCGGATAAAAACTGTGAACTATAAAAATAGATAATCAAAAGTGAATATGCTGAAAATTTCAGTCAAATTACTTCACTGTATATGATTCTTTTTTATGCATTTACTGAACAATGTCATCAATTTTGTATAATATTTATTCCTGGTAACGATTTTTAAAAATGTTATACAAACAGGGTTGTTTATCACAGTCTTTCGGTTATTTTTAAAAATCGGTTTTGTGATATGTCATCAAAACAGGAGAGACATGGTCACAACTCTCTTAAAATTGAACCAGAAAATAAGTTTATTTTTATAGTTCCTTAGACTGAAGTAATCACACTTTTAAAAACAGCAGTATCTTCACATTATATATAAATATATACAAATTATGCCTCTATACATGTTATTTATTCAGTGTATATAAACTGCCCACCATTTTCTCTGTTAATACCAACTCTCTATTACTGTCTTAGACAGCATGGCATTAATCCGGTTATCAAAGATGGCTCTACTATCAAGGATGATTTGAGGAAGAAAGTTAGACCAAGTATCATCTATCAGCATCAATTTGTGATAATGTTTCTCCAAAGTACTCCACATGAATACCTTTATGGAAATAAAACGTTTTAGACAATCACACACATATATATAATCATACTTCACGGTTGATAATTCTATACTGGTTAATCATATCATCGAACTGACACATAGTCCTGTATTTCAACAGAAAATACATCATATTCTGAACTGCTGCTAGATTATCCTCATGGTACCCTATAGCTATACTTTCAACTAAGAATTCCTGCAAACTTCTGTTGTATGAAGATACCATGCCAACATTTGGTTTAGTTTGGTCTGCTTCTTTATTAAATGTCGAACTGAAAATATAAGAAAAAAACTTAAGACTAATGCAAATTACGGTTATCCACACACACCCTCCCCTTTAAAAACAGAAACATACACCATTAACAGTAAAGTGTTAGATTGCTACTCATTTTGTTATTGGGGTGGGGAATGGGGGAAGCTATATTGTTTAGTGTGTAACATCCATTGTAAAAACCATGTAAAAACAACATTAATCTCCTTATTATAAGAAGATACAGATAACAGTATACATGTAGTCATTGACACAGAATTATAAGATAAAGGTATACATGTAGTTATTGACACAGAATAATAAAACCATCATCTTTTACCTTATCACTGTCAGCTTGAGATAACTGATCATCATAGTCATCTTGTAATTTCTCCTTCAACAATAAAACAACAAATATCAAAACATCAAATGTAATCACACAATTAAAATCAATGGATTTTAAAATGAGAAACCTTTTTGATTTGGGTAAATAACATTGTCAATTTCATTGGATTTTATGTATTGATTTCCTGTGTGACCGGTATGACAGTCTGTCTCGGTTGAAAAGTCAAAAATTGAACTAAAATTAGTTAACATTGTGAATTAATCTTTCAACAATATGATTGAAAATACTATGCAGAACTTAACACAAGACTTCTTGTATTGGTATTTTGCATTGTGAAATGGGCAAGTTGAAATCATACATGGGCAAATAAAAAATCGCACATGAATCATTTTGATATTAACACAGAAGACTTGTATATAGTATAACACAATGTGCAATAGAAATTTGTTAAATCTATTCAACTTAACCATCTTTATATTCCAACTATCATTATACCTGGTTTTCTTACATTTTAAAGTTTTCAATAGTCCAGCTTAATAATAGTTATGTCTCTATATACATATAGTGTTACAAAAGGAGTATACTTACTATTTCTCAACAAGTGTATAGTAGTTGTAGTTAGTATAGAAATAGAAAAAGACTTTATGCACATACCTTTTCAATGTTAGCTTCCATGCTCTCTAATCTCTTTCTATGTCTTTTCTGTCTTATTTGTGTTAATTGACTAGACAATTCTGATAATTTATACTGTTGAAAACCTGTAAGAACATGTATAAAACTTTAATAGTAAAAGTCAAAAAACTATATTATACACATAAAATATAATCAATTAATCATTAAAAAACAGTCAGACTAAGGGTCTAATGATGCACTATATATAATCTAATCACATCAAATCAAAATCTATTTTTAACTAATAGACCTGGCCCCAGTTCACAAAGCATTCTTTGACACAAGTTAAGAATTTACTCAAAATTGTTCGCCTTGTTTTAACTAAAATATAGAGCTTAATAAAAAAATTTGTTGTTTTAATGTATCAAATACATTCAATAAGAATCTATGTGCAAAGTTTTGTGTTTCTGGATCAAAGATATTTCTCATAAAGTGATTGAAAGTTGAGTAAATTCGTAACTTAAGTCTGAGAATGCTTTGTGAACTCGGGCCTGGACTTTTTACAAGCAATAATGCTTCTTTAATTATTTCTATCACATCAATCAAAAATTATTTTTACCAACTGGAGAAGACTTCAAAGTGATAATGCATTTTTAAATATTTCAACAAATGAAAGGTTTGCTATAGTAGGAGCAATGGTTAGACCCATAGTCAGTGATGCAATAGGTGTACACATGCTTTTTACAGTAAATATAATTATCAAAAATTTACCTCAGTTTCTCTATTTAGATCATGCAGAGATATAATTTAAATATTAATTACATTACTTAAAATATTCATTTCTTGCAATTAAAACTAATATTTATTGTATACAATTATAAAACACAAAACTACACAATAATATTAGAAAATGATATAACCATTGGATACAAAGTCAGAAAAAATGATAAAAATAAAGCATACAAAATTGCCACACCACAAAAGATAACAATCCACACGAGGAGGACAGTAAATGTATTAAAGGACAAACCTATATATCATAATGCCCCCAGAATTTATTTTTTCTAAATTCTTTTGCTGTGTACAAATATGGTGCTGCAGTGAATCTTACTTATTCAATACAGTCATTAAAAACAGCAAAAGGTTGTTAATTAGGGGTTAATATGCACAAAAAATAGTCATTTGTGTTGGATCAACATTGTGTAAATATCATCTCTAGATATCACTTAGATGAATATTTTGCTTAAGAATAAAATTTGTATGTTTGACAGTGTCAGAAGAAAAGCGTGGACATTTAATCAAACAGAAAATTAGTGCAGTTCTGCTAATGATTAGTCACTGAATAAATGAAGTATGTGTCATTTCCTAATAATCAACATATCTGAAATACTGTAAAACAAGAAATTTACGAGGCCTAATGTGACTAACAATATCAAATTTAGAACAAGTCATATCCTTTATCACACCACTATCTATTTTAATAAAGGACACTAACAAAATACCAATTAATCTCACCATTGATTAGTTTATCGTACAGGCTATAAATGTGTAATGGAATCAATATGAATGTAGTCAGGGCACATCTATTTCTTGTACACATTTATTTCAGGTTTTTTTTTATAGTATCCAGACTGGCATTATCTGTTCCAGAGTTCAATCTGAACCCAAATATTGTGACTATTAGTATATATAAAAATGTCTGCAGAAGTTATTGGTAAAAGTTAGAAATGCATAAAACCTTAAACATACATTATGCAAGAGCAAAATCTGATTATTGCAAGTCTTAATTTAGGCTTCAGATGATATAGAAATTTTAAATTAGATCTTTATTTAAACAACAAGACCAAAATCAACTCTGTAGACCCACGGATGGCTCGGCTACAGCTCGGATTTAAATAGGATTTCACTTATTAATTAATTCAAATATGGCATATCCTGATGAGAATACGTCAGTTAGATCGAGGCTAAATGATAGAATGTACTTAGCGAGGCTGCTGTAGAGCGTTTCCGCATGCCATTGAAAACTTTACTTGATAATCGAGATATGTAGGTGGAGTTAACGCCTGTCAATCAAACGATCGGCCAAGGTGAAGGCACATTTCACTACCATTTCTAGTCAAATATTACAACGATGATAACTATGTTCAGAATAAAGTAATTTGACTGAAATTTTCAATATATTAAATTCTTCTTTCATCATCTACTTTTGAACTGTTATAGCAAGAATGGCCAATTCTCTATAAAAAATCTCCCATAATGTATCTTTAAGCAAACATTTAGGAATGGATTAAATACCCTAAGCACATAAAAGTTTATGATGCCCCATCAAAATGTAATTCAAAATAAAAAGTTAAAAACAAACTAAACTGAAAAATGATCTTGTATCTTTCAAAATGAAACAAAACTTACATGTATGCTGAAATTGAAATACCTTTATTCTATGTTTTTAATTACAAAATCCTACATTATTTCATTGAAATACAAATTAAAGATGCATTATGTAAGAGCTAAAGTTGCCTAATGTAGTTCTTTCGTTTTACCTCAAATGTTATAAAAATAATTTATTCAAGCCCATAATCAAAGCTCTAGACGGTCTAGACCATCCTATGCTTTGAATACAAACATGATTGCTAGTTAATGATTAAACCTACTTTCTTTTGATATTGTAACTCCACCCATATTGAAGTAATTTGACAGAAATTTTTTAACATATTCCCTTTTCATTATCTATTTTTTTAAATATTATAGCGAGAACTGTCAGCTCTCTATCTAAATCTTACATAACACATCTTTAATTAACAGATTAAAATCATTTTGCCATAATTTATTACAATAAACATATGAGCATGCCATTTCGCTTGCCAGATTCTAATTGTATTGTATTCTCAAGTCTAAATATATTCAATAATATAATCTATTAATGATGGTTATAAATTCATATATGTTTACATATGATTTGTCTTGTCAATATTGTCTGTACCTTTTCTCCAGGGCCCAGCAGCTGCACCCCAATTGAACCTTGGAAAATCTGGCACTTAAAAACAATCAATGGTGACCACCCCCTCCCCCCTTTCCTGTAGTGCCCCAAGTTTATTTAACAAATAGTTAATCCAAGGCTGTTAGCAGAGAGAAAAAAAAGATCTAAATATATTTCAATATTTTATTAAATACAAATATTGAATAACAATAATATAAATTGTGTGCAGTTTATTTTTAATAATAATTAAACAATCAGACATAAGCATACATACAGTACATTATTCACATCTAATCTAACATCTACATCTAATTTAACTCTTTTTGTCTCCTTCCAAACCTTGAAAGTTCTGGGAATGTAAACGTCGATAACTGATATCCATCAACAAGAATCCTCATTCAGGTCTCAAAATGTTCTACAAAAGTAATTTTCTTGACCAGTCACTTTATTTATTCACTGATCATTTTATTCCAGTGTTCAAAAAATTTAAATCATCACCCAACAGTTTGCCCCAAAATAAAAAAAGAAATGCCAAATAAAACTGGAATAACACACTTTTTTTTGTTACTTTTTGTAAATAAGATTAATATGTCACAATTTTATTAACTGCTAGGACGAATAAACTATTAGTTCCATGAGTAAGTAAAACATGTGACTGTGTAATATTTTTAATTCCTAATAAGTTATCCAGAAGACATTAATTTGTTGTGATACTTTGTATAATCTATGGTTGCTCAGGGCAACAGTCTACCAATGATCTGTACAACAGGATTCTGTTTTTCAATAACAAATCCCAAGTTTTACTTTTTTCTTAAGAAAAAGCAACTTTGGAATGTCTCGGTCGCTACCCCCTTTTTAAGCAGGACATTCTGCAGTTAAGACATCATTCAAATCTGAAATTCTATTCTAAAAACACAACAAGCATGCACTAAACAGTTTAATATCTCATCCAGACTGGCAAATATCGACAAAAAAAGAGCTCTTACATTGCCCGGCAGATTCTTTATATTTTGTTCAGTACATGTGTAGCTTGTAGTGAAATAGTTTCTACCATGCACAAACCAAGTATTTAACAGATTAAAACACTGTGATATCATGAGGGTAACTGTCATCCACTGTACATAAACAAAACCCTACACTTGATATAATAGACTTTGATCCAATAGTGGCTCAGTGTGCATTAACCAGGAGGTCCAGGGTTTGGAGCTGGTAATGGCTGAGAATTCCCCTGGGGTTACCAGTGTAGATTCCCCTGTACGAGTGATGAAGGACAGAGAGTCTGACAAGGAACAGTTGTCCGGGTGCAACAAGTTAACAACATGCTTGTACAATAGACACACATGTAAAAGTAACTTTTACTGTTCAAATTTGATGAAAGAGTAGGCAGAAATGCATGGAGTTTGTTAGTCCTCAATAGCCTAATAGGTGCAGAAAAGTAGGATGTTAAACACCATTTTAGTTAATTTTCAATGACTTTCTCAGTGTATTCACCGACAGCTACATGTTTAAAGATGAGTAGCTTTAACAGGATGTGCATATGATTCTGTTTATAAACAGTGACAGCCAGTTACCCTTTGTTAATTGAAGATAAAATGTTTTGTACTTCAAGTTCTGCATTGTGAAACTATTTAAATACTAAATAAATAATAGAATATAAAGAGGGACGATTCCTCTAAGTAACAACATTTAGCTGATATATTTAGAGTACTTGACATCTGGGACTAACCTGTATCTGTTTCAGGTACATCCAGACTTTCACTCGCTGTTCTATCTAAACTTCCGAATGATATTCGAGGTGTGGACGGACCTCTTGATGCCTCATCTTCACCACTATCCATAATATTTATATCTTTGTCTTCATCTTCAGAACTACTTACTTCTCCAAAATATGAGGCTGTAAACACAATATGTATGAATAGTGAAAGTTAGTGTTCATTAAACATACATTATGCAAGAGCTAATTCTGCCTATTGGAGGTCTTTATTTAGGCCTGAAATGTTTCTAATTATTAATTAGACATTAATTAACTTATCCAGACAATAATTAATTCTCTGTGCCATTGCTAGCCTGCGATATTTAGCAGCTTGGGCTACATTTTTTGAAAAGCAATTAAACGTTAAAATGGATAATTGGGACTCTGTTGTTTATCGTACTGACTTTAGTAATGATGATCAAGGCTAGCCTAAAATTCAAAAGCTAATATCTCGGTTCAAAGTGGAGCAATTTGACTTAAAATGTAACCATATTCTATTATAGCGAGAACTTTCAACTCTTTATCTAATCTCCCATAATGCCCCTTTAACTGACTATCAAAATCAACCTTTAGCAGTGGAAGGAAAACAGAAAACCATGAGAAAACCCACAAGTTTAGGCTGGTGACTCTACTCCTTGTCACGTACAAGTTTAGGATCAAAATCAAGCCATTTGATCAGGCCTCAACATGATTCAATGACAGACCTTTCGATCTAAAGCACACATGTTAGGCCACTTGGTCACTCCCCCCGATTTCCTTGTAACCTAGTTATCACAAACTACACCCTATTATTATCTTTTTGAATGGATAAAAATATCCATAAAAAAATAAAATATTGTAAACTAAACTAACCAACATCCATAGATGTTTCTTGTTCATTTTGTAACAAACCAGCTGGTATTTTTCTAGAAGATGTACTTCCTTCCATTATTTGACCTGATGTAGTGGCTTCAGCTTCATCTCGAATTATCTCCCATTTAACATCAATAGCTTCAGCATCATACCGAAATAATCTCTTTACTTCTTTTTCTATTTCTGGTTGATCCATAAACTAAAAGTAACAAATTCAATTGGAGCAAGATCAAAATAATGAAGATGATACTCGATGGAACTTCCAGTACTGAATTCTCTGAAATTTTGCCCAGACAGCGGCACTACGGCCTACTCTTATATCAAATTCCATCTGTCAAGGATCTTTTACGTGCATGCCAATGTGTACACGGGACCCCGGTTTTTCGTCCCATCCGAACGACTAGACAGCTGATCTTGTCAGGCCCTCAGTCCTGCATCACTGACAAGGGGGAACCACGCCAGAAAATCTGGATGAAATTTCTCGGCCAATGCAGGGATCGAACACCTGACCTCCAGACTAGGAAGCCAGCGTCTTACCCACTAAGCTACCGTGATCCCCCTGTCTTAAAAAGTGTCCCTTTTTTCTGAACAGTTTTAAACACCTGGGCAAAATTATATTGAATACAAATACCCAGTTAATGACCAAAGATAGAGAGACATAGTAATATATAGGTATGTAGAGAGAATACACTTAACGTATATTATTTGAACTTATCTACACTTTAAAGAGCTATTAAAACTTTCAACAGGAACATATATAAACCCTCGCTCAAACATAGACATTTCAATATAGTCATATAATTTTTTTAATTGTTTTCAAGAAGTTTGAATGCCCGTTAAAATTATTTTATTTTAAGTACGTCGGTGTTTGAATTTTCAATAATAAGTTGAGTCTTCGATTAGTTTTAATATGCTATTCAAAATTAATTACATTTATTTTCTTGGTATCACAAATTGTTCACAAGTGCTCATATAACATCAAATCAAAAAAAATGTATATTATCATAAAGATCTCAAACTTTTTATCTAAAGATGTAATGGCAGTACATGTCTAACAATATTGTTTTACCTTTTTCTTCAGTGTTTTTCTAAATCGTCTTTTCTTTACATTTTTCAAAGGAGGTGTTACTGTAATGTTATAAAATAAATCAATTTAGTACCATCTGATCACGTTCTATAATCAAAACATATATATTCATAATAATAATAATATCAAATTGAACCCTGAATACACAACAGTAAAGACCTAGCAAAATAAATCTTACTTCCATGATTATAGATGAATTTCTTCTGTTCTTTATCTTTTTTCTTTGGAGAATCACTTTCTTCCTGACTTAAATCATCTTCTGTTGTACAAATCAGCATCTGAAAGAAAAACATACAAAATAATAAAGTTGTTTTTTTTGTGAAGCAACAAGGAAATTATAATTGATATAAATCATTGATTAAAGTAGAAATACTAGGTGTTATTAATTCATAAAAATATGTTCATACTAGGCAATGAAACATACACCCACTGTAACAAAGTCATCTAAACAGTTCATAATGGTTGTCGCATTCGGAATCTTTATGCAAATAACAAGCCAGTGAGACTGATGTCTCCTGCCACAATCCCAAAATAAATAGATGAACTCAATAATTACTTGCACATTTATCATTTTATAAAGCATCTAGCAATCAAATAGTTTTTCACTCTGCATAACCTAAGAAGAAAATGCCCATTATTGAACTTAGTCAAGGTATACACCAAGTTTCACCACTCCCTTTCAATTAGAAGCAGAATTATTGTGGACAACCAAGCAGAAAATGCTCATCATAAAAATCAAATGAATATTCTACATCAATCAGACTCAGAAACAGATTTTAATTGGAATCATTTTTGCTTAATATTTACCTTGTTTATATCTGCTGTCTTATAAAATGTTTTTTTATCAACCGTTTTCAAGGAATCGATTATGCAAGGTAGGTCAACTAACTGAAACAAAAAGGGGAGATAATTTGGCATTGGACTCATGACTAAATACTGAATTAATTACATCATTTTCTCCGTAGTACACTGTAATACATGGCACATAAATTACCAATGTTATAGAAGACCAGAAAAATGGTTTTGTTCTTGTCTTGATTTCAATGTATTTTGGGTGTTCATATGTGTTATGGGATCAAAATTTGTTTTAATTGAAAATTTTATACCCGTAACATACATGTACATGTAAAGCCAAAACAAGGATATATATTCAAGTAACTAATTTTGTGTTCGATCACTGTAAACACAGTGAGCTCAAATTTAAACCAAAATAAGTAAACAAGCCAATATCTCTCACAAAATAAAATTTTAATTATTCTCAGGTAAACTCAATGAATTACTTTATTTTATGTTGAATAAAATCAACAGAAAATCTGAAATCTATATGGCGAGTAGCCATCGCCACAGATTTTCTCTTAGTTCTTTTGCGAATGTGACTACTGTGAACAGAACGTTGGCTTACGAATAACTGTTCTAAAAATGCTTATTTGCAAAGACCGAAAACTTTTGACTGTTATTTAAAATAAGGGGTCATGGTGGTTAAGTCGCTGGCTCGCTAGCCTGGAGGTCGGGTGTTTGATCCCTGCATAGGCCGAGAAAGTTCACCCATATTTTACGACGTGGTTCCCCTTTGTCAGTGATGAAGGACCTGACAAGGACAGCTGTCTAGTTATTCAGAAGATACGAAAAACCGAGGTCCTGTGTACACATTGGGGTGCACGTAAAAGATCCCTTGACAGTTGGAATTCGATATAAGAGTAGGCCGTAGTGCCGCTGTCCGGGCAAAATTTCTCTCATAGCACACTGTATGGCGTTTGCCCGTCTTCATTAGCCCAGTTCGGAGCAAAACAGTAGGACTTTAAATCCCATTTCATTTCATTTATTTAAAATAAACAAATATATCCTGGAATTATTTAGTTAACCAGGGTAGATTATTGACGTGTACGCACAGTGTACATATATTTTTATTATGAATCAAAACACATTCTGACATTTGCACACTTTCAAAATTCCTCATGAAGGCGTGCAAAAATTGATGTCAGGTTTTGAAATCAAAACATGATAAAAAGGACTTCTCCTCTTAGCTAAGTTTTGAATTGCCAGATCATCATGTTTGATGTTGCCAAAAACTGGCCAGGATTCAACTCCTTGGCAAAATTGCCTAAATTTGTGCCTGTGACAGGTGCCTTATTTACAGACTTACAGAAAAAGAATAGGACAAAATGAGATCTATCACTTCAACACCTCAACTGTATCAGTGTCAATATCCTTTGTAATATCACCAGTTTTAGACGACATAAACTGAACACCCGTCATCACAGTGAGAAATAACGAGTGGCAGTCTCTAAATTGTGACGTCATAGGAAATCTTTTGAACTTATTAACTAAGCCAGTATGCTAAGGTCCCCAATCAATATGCGTACTAATTTCTAAATCAATGAGATTTCGCTCCCATAATCCTAAATGATACTGATGCATGTAAAATTGTAAAGATGATAATTTATTATTAGGCATGATTCGAAATGTTTCTTTTCAACTCCATACCTTAATATACAATGCTTACTTTTGCTGAAAATATTTCTCCACCATATCGAACTCTAGCATGCCTCATATCCGGCTGCATCTCTATACTCAGCTTATCTTTTAATGTTAATGAACCGGTTTGAACATCATGACGTAATGCCATGGCAGGACCCTGTAAAAGAATGCAACACTTTAAATCAGATATGACAATCACATATATCAAATGAATCCAAAGTGCAAATTCTATTAAATAATCTAAAAAGTATCACAAAAGCAAACTTTTCAATCAAAAATATAACTGATTCAATACAGTTCTAGATTGTGAGTTGAATTTTTAGAACATGTGTGACTGTTGCCAAGTGTTGGCCTACCAAATTACGTTCTGTGATTTAAAGTAGCTAAGTCTCTATCTCAATATAATCCGAAGTCTTCGACATTGAAAACACGAAATATTTGTCAATTTAAATCAACATTGGTGTTGTTATCGTATCATGAAAAGATAGGCTTCTGATATCTAATATTTAGGACAAAATAAACATTTTACCATTGGTAATAAGGGACTCGAAGAACGAGATTAGACATATTCCACAAGTCATGTCAATTGGTGATCCCATATTCTTATCTGGAGAGCATGCGCCATAAATATTATCGGTGTAGACTGGAATAACCAGACGCTAGAGATTGCCATTCGATTGAGACTTCTGGCGTACTAGTCGAACATAACTGATTTGAAATGAGGGTAAAAACGGAAACGACTGAATGTAAAACAGTTTATATACATTCATATTACATTATTATATGCTTTGCGACCCATTTGTGTCAATTTCGAGGTCCCAAATATTAGCGATTTAGCTCCTTTAAGCGATTATATCGTTATTCTTTTTAGGGATATATGGTTTAATGTTTTATTGCTGCTGTAATTATTTTTATTTTTTCATTTTTATAGCAGTATTTATATAGTAAAGAGCTGGGATATTCTTTAAGTATAGATCAAGGTCCACCAGGAAGAAATGTACAGTAACAGCAGAGATACATGTACATGTACTACATGTACCGGTATACCAAAACCATTATTTACTAAAATATAGATAACACAAACCGGTGGTAAACGAAGAATAAGTTGTTGTTCCAAATCATTTACAGTATCAGCAGGGTTTTCTCTTCTCTTAGCTGCATTTTTGTTACTCATCTTGCCTTTTAATTAAAAATAAATAACGATAATTAACTAATTAATGAGAAAAATAAATATCACGTCTTGCAACCGGAAACGTTCTACGTCAATAATTTTGTGAAGATCAAGGGAGGTAACTCTCATGAAAAGTGATGATGATTCCTGTAAGAATTTCTGTAGGACTCAAAGGAGCAGATATTATCCAAAAATTCATGATGAATTTCATTTAGAAATAGCCTTTTACTCACTTAATTTATTGATCTATACACTGCATCAAAATGATAGTTTATTGTTTTAATAGAGCTCCCCATAACAACTGCAAAGATGGTAAGTTAAAGAGTACCGTAATAATGTGATTTTGATTCATGATTCATTGTCAGATAGCCCTGCATGTCAAATGATGATGTGACCTTCTTTATGTTTTTTTTTTGCTACCTTCTAAAGACTAGACCTACTCTCTTCTAGGGACTATATTTATCGCCTGATCTGTTTTAGAAATAAACTTAGTTATGTATACATCATTATTATTGCGGTGAGACGAAGAATCATAGCAATTTCTGATAACTCCAGAGTTATTGCCCTTGATTAATTAAATTGTCTTATCTGATTTGAAATTGATAGTCGGTAGCCCACAAATACTAGTGCAGTTCATACAGTATGCGTTTTTACATTAATATTGTAGGGGTAGCCTAATAGGTATCCGCTTCAGATCATTAGGTTTGTCATTGTAATTGAGCCAGTCAACGTAATTTAGATTCCCTAGTTATACATATACGTGAAAAGGAGTAGCACGTCCAATCTCGTGGCTTCTCTCAAGTCCTCTGGTTTCCTCCAATGTTAAAGACCCCTACGTAATTGAATTAATGAAATAAAATTGTACCATGTTAGTTTCAAAATGACCTAGTTTGTGTCAAGCGGAGGTTAAACCCCATCCCTCTCTTTATAATCATCTTGTCATATGTACTCGGTTTGATACTGTACCTTACATATGTACATGTATTTATCAAAGTGACTTAGAAAAATAGTTGTTTATTAGTATAAATCTATATTTACATGTAGTATGCTTCCTACTTACTGAAAAAAAAACCCTATTTGGTCCTTTTTTCGGAATCTTAAGAATACAGTGCTATTATATTTGCCCCCAGAAATTCCAAAGATTAGTGAAACAATTTATCAAGATCCGCGAAAGCTAAAAATAGGAGTGTTTAGACAACATAACATCTATCATTGAGTCAAGTGTTGTGGTTTCACTTCCCAGGCAGCGTCATAAGGTGTAGGTTCACCTATCCAACCTCATGGGTTTTCCCCTGGTCCCCCGGTTTCCTTCCACTATTTAAGACTCCTACAGGCAAACAAATTATGGAAATAAAATTGAACCATCCTGAAATTACCTAGTTTATTTGGAGTGGACGTTAAAGCCCCTCTCTCTCTCTCTCTCTCTCTCTCTCTCTCTCTCTCTGTATATTGTTGTCAACCCTGTAGATTCAATTGACTAAATTATATATAATGGGTAAGCACAATTATTATATTCATGAGAGAAGAAACCGTATCTGTATTTACAAGTTAAATATTTTTACAAATCTCTCCTTTTGGCTGTCCAGCAGAATCATTTACAAGTTTGGTCTTCTCTTTGGAACAGCTAATAGGATTTCAACTAAAAGGTGGTGAGGATTTCGATTTGTTCATACTTTGGGCAGAGTAGGGATTAAAGGAGCTAAATCCCTATTCTTTGGCACCTAAAAATGAAAACAAATATAATAATGTAATATGAATGTACATGTGTATATAAACTGATTTATATTCAATTGTTTCTGTAATTATTGTTATTTCTAATCAATTATGTGCGGCAAAATTTGCAAAGAGTCCAAATTGACTGGCAGTCTTCTTGGCGTCTGGTTATTCCAGTCTACACCGGTAGCATTCTGCTGTGGAGTATGTTTAGCCTCGTTCATCGAATCGCTTTATTATATATGGTGCTCGAACACATTCTAGCATGCGATTTGTGTACCAAATTTTAAAATTTTCATTTTGTCGTGAATAGTGGATATCAGAAGCCCATCTTTTCACGGTAAGATAACAATATCAGTGGTGATTTAAATTGACTAATAATTCTTCTTGTTTGCAATGTCGAAGACTGTGAATGATATTGAGTTAAAGACTTGCCTCCTTTAAATGGGTAAAGGGCTCAGATTTTTTTTACTCTGTGTTGATAAATTTCAAAAGACAAAATATTTGTATGAGATTCTCTCAAACTGATCAACAGTAAATATTGACATGACTACCAATATCACTGATCGTGATGGCATCAGGAGCAGTTGATTATTCCTTCATATTCACTTAAATTCTAAAACATGTTTTTAAATTATTAAGACAAAAAATGCATAAAAGAATATCATATTTGTTTTTAATTTTTACCAAGACTATAAAATTTTCTTTTATTTATGCATATAAATTGTCACATTGATCCGCAGTGAATATTCGCTTGGCCGCTACAATCACTGATAAGGATGACATCGATGCGACTTAATGACTACAAAATATTAACTTTTTTCTTTCGACAAATTAAATTCTGAAACATTTTTTTTTAGTATTAGAAAAATAAATAAAGGGTGTTTGAAGTATATCTTGATAAAAAATATTCCATATTTAGTGTAAATAGGTACAGAAAATAGTACGCGGAGGCGTAAAATGGGTAAAACGACATAATTCTGCCCGTACCTGTTCATATTACTACGTTCGATGTAAACAACGCACGTGTGACCATCAATTTGACGTTTTTTTCTGTTTGTTTAATCTGAATTCGTTCAGAAGTACATTTTTTACCGTCTAATCTGATTGACCTGCTCGTGTTTGTTTTAAAACAACAAAAACAAGCCTCAGAAGTACTCTTTTTTGGCGTTATCGACGCCATCTTGCTTTGTTGGTAAACATTGTGATGTGACGTCACCCTTAGAACTATAGCGGTCTGACCTTTTAAAGGTCAGTCATCTTGGACAGAGATAAAAGACAGATGTCGCATTAGGTCTGTAAAACAGATTGATAAATTGTATGAGATAATAATTAGTTTGTCTCATAAATTTCGCATAATATAGCCTGTTTGATGCTGACTTATCATTAAATATCATTTCATTTGATTTCATTTGTTATTTTTATTTTCTAAGTTGGTACATCTACACCAATCAATAAATTGTGCTTCTTTTGACCATGAAAGAGTCGAGTGTCTTCAAGGGATCGTTGGTACATTTATTATTCCCAACCTGAATATCTTTTGATTGATTTTTGTATAGATCTTTGAAGCGTAGCTCACATGACACATGACTCAAGTAATCTATAGAAAAATTAACAATTCTCTTGTGGGTCATTGCAAAACGGGTTGTTACTGACAACACATAAACAAACCAGGTATTGATAGTACTGGTGATTATTATTTGTTGTGAAATCTGATGAGATATTTACATATAATAATAAATATATACATTGACCACGAGTGTTATAAGTATTAAGATGTTCTGAATGTTTTGTCTCGTGAGAATCAGACGTTGATATGCGTTTGACGTAAACAAGAATGTAAAAGTTTAAATTGGATTTAATACTGGAATTGTTTCGCACAACAACAATTTAAACCTAATAGACTATATTATCATTTGATTGACAGGTATGTCTTAATTAATTACATGTAAAGGCGTAAGGTTCCACTATTATTTTCGTACTAAGATTTTTGTTGTGTAATTTATTTTTGATTACACTGTATGCATGAACAAATATTAAATCCAAAATTTTAACAATAACATTGAGTAGTTATTTCTCTTGACTATTTTGTTTTAACATTTGAATTTTTATAAAAATGAAATGAAATGACTTGAAATGGGGTTAATGTCCTACTGTTCTGCTGCTACTGGGCATACGCCATACAGTGTACTGTGAGGGAAATTTTCCCTGACAGCGGCGCTACGGTCTACTCTTATTTCGTATTCCAACTGTCAGGGTTTTTTTTACGTGCACATTAATTTATACACAGGACCTCGTTTTTTGGTCTGATCCGTACAACTATACAATGTCCCTCCGTCCTACAGCATTGACAAGGGGGAACCACGCCAGTAAATTCCGATGAACTTTCTCAGCCAAAGCAGAGATCGGACACAGGACTGCCTGGTAAACGAGCAAACGTCTTACTGACTGAATATTTGTAAGGGGTTATAAAGAATGATCTTCGAGGTAGGCTAACAATGATTTTCTCTCCGTAAAATGAGATAAATCCAATTAGTCCAAGACACCGTATTTTTAGAAAGAGCTTTAAATATCGCCATTTTTGAGACAAGTACAAAAGCTATGATAATGTTAAGAATAAAAGTAACTAAAAAGAAGTCGAAGGACTAATATCCAGACTTGGATGTGTACGTGTATCTCCCCTAAAACATCTTACTTTGTTCAATTTTAACGATTTTAATATTAATCAATTTCAACCTTAAAATATAGTCAAGTCTATACCTTTTAAAAAGATAAGTGTAGTGTATTCTCAGGCAGATACTGGTATGACAATGAGATTTTTTTTTATATACTTGTATTTCCGTCATTGCATTTGATCAGATAAAAACTATACATAATTAACTGATCAGTGTGTGAATTATGAGTTGATTAACTGTACAATATTTGAAGATAATATTTATTCGATCAAAATTTCTTTCATAGCACTCTGTGTATTCAATCAATACAATAATGTTAAAATATATTCATGTTTAATACCTGTATATGAATTGAAGAAAAGTTACATACTTGTAAAATCACAATTAAAATATGGATCAGAAATGTGTTAAATAATTAAATTCAAGGTATCTTTACATCGTTGGTACGCAAATTTCTTAGTAACCGACCTACTGACCACCTTGTCAATGTATCATCTGTTATATTGTACATTGCAAGAGGCATGGACTTCCCTCATGTTTTAGTTAATATATTTTGCGTTAAACAGTGTTTGTAAAGCAACAAAACGTTTAATACAGAATATGCACCATACATTGTGTTGAACATACTTTGGACACAGTGATCCTGGGAACAAGTTTCAGGTGTAGGTGCAGTCCCTGGTATGGTGCTTTAGACACAGCCAACTATTAATATCTGTATTCAGGTACTCAGTAATTCCATAGAATTGTTACTGGTGTATAAACTTCTACTGATTGTAAAATATAAATTACAATAAAATGTCTTCATATGTATGTATGGTTCACACCATTAGAATACATTATGTAGCAGCTGACATTGTCAAATTTATTCTTAATAATAACAAAATATTATTTTATATTGGATCAGTTCATATTCAGCTTATATTCAGCCAATAGAAAATCTTGATAGTTTGTGTGAGTTATGAGTAGTGACTAATTTAGTTCTCAATATATAGAATTCGTGTGATTGGTGTGTAGTTATTGATAAACAAATAGTGCTATATTATAGTTATTGGTGTACAAATAATACTATATATTTATTCAATAGATTAACAGATTTAATACAATTTTTGTTTCATAAGTTAGTAGATAGTTATCGATAGCTTCGTATTGTGATAGACATAGTTTGAATTGAGTTGACACTGGTCTCTCTCATCTTTGAAAAAAACAAAAAAAAACCCTTGTTGGTCTCGTAAGAATGTATGTAAAGTGTTGATGAGATGTTAACATTATTCTTTTACTTTCATTTTTTAGATTTTCATAAATATTATTTTTGTATTTTCAGAAGCTGTTACATCTGTGTTTGCTTGGCTTAATTGGGCTTTCTGTGATTCTGTACATAATTTATTTCAAAATGACGAGTCCTTCGTTAAATCACAGTATAGGACTTGTAAATCAACTGGCAACTAATACAAGTCTTCATTATTCTACAGATCAGGTTGGTTTTGTTATATATATTTATATATACCAGTATTAAGGTGGGGGGGGAGGTGAAATTAAAGGCCCAGTCTTTGAGTCCACTTTGACTGATTGTAAAGACAGTTCTATTTTGCTCAATAATGGAAGCACATATTGGAACATACTGCTATATAACCCAGGGAGTAAGACGCAGGCTAGCTAGCCTGGAGGTTCGCTATACGTGTTAACCAAGAAAGTTGTTGAGGATTTCCAGCATGTTTCCCCATTGTCAGTGGTGCCAGAGGGCCTGGCAAGGACAGTTGTCTAGACAGTCGGATGGGACAGAAAACATTGGCATAAAGGTAAAAACAACCCTTGGCTGTTGTAATTTGATATAAGATTAGGCTATAGCGTAAAATTTCCCTTATAATACACTGTATTGTGTACGCCCATCTTCATTAGCCCAGTCGGAGCAGAACAGTAGGACGTTAAACCCCATTTTATTTTGTTTCATTTACATATAAAGAACCTTGTTGGTTTCCAACATTTTCTGGTAACTTAAAATGGAAATGTTATCAGGAAGAACCAGAAGCCAATTATCAAATTTTAGTTATTTCTGATAATCAGTTTATAGCGTCTTGTAAATGCTTACAATGATTCATTACCAACAAAAGAAAATGAGTGACAAACCTTATGGACTGCTGTGGTTGTCTAGCACCCTATTTTTATTACCAGCTGTTGTTTGTGTTGTGTCAGCTTTTATAATTGAAGCATATGTTATTTGGTATCAAATTTTATCAGCATGCAATAAGATATATCTTCGAACAACGAGGGTACGTAAATGTACATGAATTTTGAAAGAGGTGCTTGGTCAGGGTCCCCCCACCCCACCCCACCTCAAATAGATAAGTCATCTTATAAAACATTGTAGTATGTAAATTAATTTTAAAGGGGTGGTAAGATGAGTAAAAATATGATAATAGAACACACACCTCCAGAAGGGATGCTGGCTTGGTGAGTAGGGAGGTCACTCACCAGCCAGGCAATCCAGGGTTCAACTCCAAAGTTGGAAGAGAAAGTCCTGTTTCATGTCATTTTCATCCCATCCTGAAAACTTATCACTTTTAAAATGTGGTTGAAATCTAAAATAGAAGACTTTAAAACCAATTGATAATTATATGCTTTTATCATGCAGTAAAATATATATGAATCCATGTCCATTATATACAGCACTAATGTAATAGGACGAATAGATTATGACATACATCTCCCCAAGTGACTTAAGTTCATAACCTACAATGTATGGTGACCTGTGACTAGTTCGTAATGTTCTAAAAATATAATTGAAAGATACACATGTGGCTATTATTGCCAACATGGTTTGAGATACATGTAGCTTGTGACATATTTATATATCACATGGCTTATATACACTTGACTGGTTAACCATATCTTACATAGTATACTTGTTCTAGTCTATCGGTTTGATAACAAACTAGGTACAATACATGTCCAGGAGTGTAGGTATTTATATTGTGGGTTATATATTTATAATGTGGGGTCCATTTAACACCATACATATTAAATAGGTCAGTTCTCTCTTATATACATGTATATATATACCTTACTCATGAATATTTCATAATACACAGGTATTTGGAGTGTCCTTGTGCTTGTTATTCTTGATAGTTGATTGAAGTTATTTAGCTATGTGAAACATTTATGAATCGATTGACGACTGATTTTCAATTCAAGGTTGCTAAAGATAGCTTGTTTATTCAGATATTTTTAAACACCGATCAAGTAGTGGAAGAGTATTTTGTTTTTGTTGTTTTTATCTGGTTGATCAAGTTGTTCTACTGCATCAACAAGTAGCTGTATGACAGATATGTGTCAGAAAGGATGTTAACTGTTTTTTATGTAGTTCTAGAAATGGATTTAATTTATCTAAACGTGGGATAAAAGTTTAAATGAAGATGTCTCAGGTATGGTTATATTTGTATATGGTTCAGTATATGTTATTTTACACCTGAAGAAGTAAGGATAATGTATGGTCAATTGTACTGTATTTAAATCAAAATGTTATAAGGACCAACCAGTTTCAAGAAGGTGACTAATTGTAACCCCTTCATGAATATTGCTGAGGAAGTGGCTACAAGCATTATTCGATTATTTAACCATAGTTGCATGTTGTCTTACATTTATATTTATTAGTTTAATTAAGAATAATAAGATGGGTTCTTTTAAAATCTTTATGAAACTTTCAATATAGGTTTATCTCCCAAAGATCTTGGTTCCTTTCGAAATTGGCATGTATCGGACCGTAACTTCATGGATTATGGCCCCTGATTGTACGAAAAACCATGTTTTTAGCTTGTTGACCACTCTAGAGGTCACAATTTTCATCCGATTTTAATGAAACTTGAAATGTATATTTATAACCGAAAGATCTGGGTTCCTGTTGATATTCATGCATATCAGATTTTAAATTCCTGGATTATGGCCCCTGAAAGTCTCTGATTGTACAAAATGTCACATTATTTTTTTTACCTCATTCTCTGTCCATCTCTTGCAAAATGCGGGCAAATGTTGCATGGCAACTGCTTGTTTAAGCATGTTGGGGCTAAAAGATTGACAAAGAAACAATATCCTATGTTTAGTGTGTTTATGTTATGGTTTACAGTAGGTAAAAGTAGCATTACAGTTAACTGAATATGTGATAGAACTCGTTAAACACGTTCCAAATATAATTTTAACACAGAGATAATTATTTCGATAGATGCGTTATGAAGGTTTCAACAATCGGAAGTGACGAATGCAAAAGGAAAACATGAGTTATTCCTCTATATAACTGACTGAAGTGACGAGTAATAACAGATACAGACAAATTTCTGCTCACTAATAATTACTTCGAAGACCAAAAGTTGTTACACAAGACTATGAGAGGATATCTGACAATTCAAAAAAGTAATTGAATGTCACTAGATAAGAGAACACGAGAAAAATAGAAATAGTCGGTACATTCCCTTGTTTTTATTCATTCTATACTTAATAAAACATGGTAATCACAGACTTTTCTATTTTTTTCCCGTGTTCTCTTATCTAGTGACAGTCGATTCTTTTGATGAATTGTCAAATATCCTCTCATAGTCTCGTGTAACAACTTTTGGTCTTTGGCGGAATAAATTCACCCGTGTATCTGTTATCACTTGTCACTTCATTCAGTTATATAGAGGAATAACTTGTGTTTGCATTCATCACTTCCGATTGTTAAAAACTTCATAACACATCTATCGTAGTAATGATCGGTGTTGAAATTATATTCAGAACGTGTTTAACAAGTTCTATCATATATGTGATAATGACTGACACCAATATTGTCCTTTAATCCCCAAAAACTAATATTGTTTATGTATATTGTTGTTGGTGATATTACCAGATGTAGATGTATCATTAGATCAGTTTGTTATAATATATCATAACCACTATCAACTGCTATTGCTACAGGTAATATTTCATATCATCTGTGATTGATATCTTCATTTAACACACACCTGTTGATTAATTAAAACGATTAAATGTCTTGTTTAATTGATTAGTTAATTTAGAGTTTAAAATATGCTGGTATTAGATTTTATGTTATTATGTTGATGTTACACAGTCAGAAATGTAATGGTTGGTATCCATAGAGATCTGTCTTCATTACCCCAGATGGTGCAGATAAAGTAGGACGTTAAACCTAGCAAATGTTAAATTATTGAGACCAGGTCATCACACAAACTTTCTGTGGAACCTGGGACCAGTTCCATTTTAAGTCTAGAGTATCAAGTACCACAGTAAAAAGGAGATCACAATGACCAGAAGCGAATTGTCATTAGGTAGGTCCAAGTCACCAGATCATCATACTGTAGGACAAGGTTACTAGGTCAAATTATATTACAGCATTATGGAAATAGGCTCAGTAAGCTGGTTACCAGTAGCAAAGGGTTAAAGTTGTCTAGGGACAGTGTTTTTTTTTAGTTGTCAGGACTTATATCCAATCTTTTAAATTTTACTGCGCACAAATTTGGAAGTGGCTATATATTGTGTACTGAGTTTTTGTACAGATCTTTTATTTTCCCCAAGTATATGTGTTACAGTATTGGTTGGTATCTAGAACCTTGCCAGTACTTTATATATTGCTACAGGGTTTGTTAGAATTTGTCAGATCTTCTCCTGATTTACAGTGTTTGTTACTTGTTGATTAACTTCTTGCATGCCCCTGATTAATATGATTGTTAAGTCAAGGTCCTCCCACCAAAGTGTATAGTATTTTTGACACTGTCATAAGCCTTTCTAACACGCACTGTGTAATCTTAAACAATTGTTGCATGTGAGGATTGGGAGGGGCCTCTCTTCATCTAACTCCAGTACTGAAGCATTATTTTTTAAGTATGCCCTGTATTTAGTATTTTATCTGCCTTCCTTTAATACTTAATAGCTATTTTATTTTGAAACCTCTGTACTGTTAATATATTTTACCTTGCATTCAATATTACTTTATGTCATGGGCTGAGAAGAATTGTTTATGGATAGCCTACATGTAAAGTTTTGTGAATAATATGCAGAAATGACAAAATTGTAAAAAAATTGAATTGTGTTGTTAGTATTGTGTTGACAAGATTTTACACTCTGTTACTTTTCAATATAACTTAAAGAGGCTGTCCCAGATATCACATGATACCATAAACAAAAACTTATTTTAAAGTATGTTAATCAAATGACAAAAATGTGACTTTTAAGGGTATCAAATATGTATGAAAATTTCTGATCAAAATGTTGAGTTACTCAAAAAAATTCACTAGATTTGCTAAACAGGGTTGTGTAACATATTAAAGGGATTTTGTTCTTGACTAATATGAGAATCATTACCTTGATAATCGTGACAAACACCTACTGTTAGAACTTCTACAGGTATGTAGAAAGAGTTATCCAGACACTAAAATTTGGTGACTTATTGCCGACCGCATGTTTTTATTTTTTTGAAACAGTTTAACCAGAGCTTCAGAGTTCAGATACATGTAATTCAAGGTTTGCATTAAAATATATCCGGTACAGATCCTTTAAATCTGTCTTTTTTATCCAGATCAATTTTAATCAATCAATAGCATTAACCTACATATAGGCAATGAAATCTATTCTATGTATATCCATATAAGTCTACAAATACATATAACACACTGATGTTACCATGAGGATTATAAACTTAACACGACAGGTAATTTAGTTAAATAAACTAAAGTTGTAGTTTGAGCAGTTCTTCAAGATATACATATATGTGGGTGTTTTAGAAATAGATCACGGGACATGAGTCAAATTAACAATGACTCATACAAACAGTTTTTAATCTAATTGATAAGCTTTTAATTGGATAATCTTTATACCTGCTTTGACTTACAAGTTTACAAGTAGAACGTAAGCTTATACAGTGACAAATAATTTAATTACCTTTGATCAGTTTATTTTTGTTTCATTACATAATTACCTTTGACATTAATTAATCATTGATGATTTATTTATAATTTTTAATTCTCTGAGAAAAGCCTTTTTCTGGAGTTATGGTAGTTCTGGTCTTATGACATGTTGATTTTGTAGGCGTGTACCGGTATCTCATTTGGTCCAGCTAAAATTATCTTCACTTTGATTACATTGAATGGACAAAATAAGGTGATTTGTTTATGTGGTAACTAGCTGTGTAGCAATTCGGTATTCCATTCATCTTTCAATACCAGTTAAAACGTGATTTTCATCTGGAAATTATCTCTATGTAAGAATTCACATTATACTGTGATGATCTTTCTCACTAAATCTGTCGGTTAATATTGACGTTGATTTCTTTAATTCAGCATCCAAACTTAATAAGAGAGAGGAATAATAATATTGTTATCTTCAATCAGGTTAGATTTATAGTCCTTTCATTGTTGAATGTTGGCACTTTTCTTCAATTCTGTTCACCTATGCAATTTTCATGAAAGCACATATAATTTATGATTGTTTTTTTATTCACTCCCTACACACAGTTGATGTTACAGATATGATTTTTTATGTCAGTGTTGAATGTACCTGCTTTGAATTATTTTGTTCTCTTCTTTCAAGTTCATATATTTTATCGTATTGAACCTATTCATTTAATTGCATTTAAGGTATTAAACCTATCCTTTTAATTGTGTAAGCCTTTAATATATAAAAAGAAAGAGTTTAATTTGCATGCTACTTTTCAACTTTATAAATTTGAGTACAATTGAAAACAGAAAATGAAAAAAAAAAATTTAAAGGCCCAAATCAAATCTTGATAAAGAGATTATCAACTGTTAACTGCAAAAAAAATAAAACATACCGTACATTAAAAATTCTAATTCCAAATATCTCTGGCAATCAGGATTTTTATGAATAATAACAGTTACATGCCAACATCTCAAATATGATGGCTATATTTACACCTTTTCAGTAAACTTTGTGAACTTGTCATCATTTTGAAATTTTTGTCACCATTTTACTTTTTTTTTTTCAGGGAATAATAATAAGTGGTAACTGTTCTTCAAACTGTAGTAATCAAAGCACTAGCAGCATCATGACACCAGATGCAGGAAGAAGTCAGCAAGACTTCATTATTGGTCTTATGTTGGCCATTTCGTCCAGTTTATTTATTGGGTCGAGTTTTATTTTTAAGAAATTGGGATTATTACGATTGGCTAAAAAACAGACAGCCAGAGCAGGTAAATAATAGTATGAAAATTAACATCCATTTTTATTACAATTCTTTTGAATCTGAATTGTCTTAATACTTTCCCTAGCTATTTTAATGGTAATTGTGATGGTCTGACCCTTCAAAGGTTATTGGGTTTTTGAGTTTTCTTGTAGATCCTGTTCCTTAAAGCATAATTATCAAATTATCCAATAATACAACCCAGATCTTTCTTTGACTTACCTATCCAAAGATGTGTGCAAAACAAAAGGCCTAGTACTACCAAGCAAAATTTATAATTTTTCGTGAATAGATAAGTAGTATTGTTTTCGACACAAATAATAAAAAAGAAACAAGTCCTAGATACGTCTTGGAAAAGGTGAATAATATATAATATAAAATGTCAAGTGTTTTGGTCGGAAATCTGAGTAAAAGTTTTAAAAACATAAATCAGGTGAAAAATAGACCTGAATCATTCCTAGCCTTCAACTATCACTATTTTCATCATAGAGAGTCCAAAATTTCAAACGGTTTAGAAAATATTTAATTCTTCTGAAGATCACAGTCTTATTTTAATTTTATCTTTATTACATTTTCATTCTTGTTTTAATTTTGTTGGACTACACTTCATGATCAGAGACATTTACATTCAAGTCAGAGCATTCATTCATATTGCTTAATGTCTGCTACAGACAAGCTTCTATCGCCTTCATTTATAGTGGGGCCAAATGGATTAACATTAGATTATAAGGTCTGTCATTTTAGAGTCGAAGTGGCGTGGTTTTGATTCCCCACTTGTATGTGACAAGGAAAAATGACCAAGTTTGTGTCAGTGGTCTTAAACTAACTCTCTCTCGCTCTCTCTCCTCCCCTCCCCTCTCTTCATTTATATGCCAGTACATGATTTTTCATTGGTTAAAATCATTCTTGCCAAAGCATCTGTTCATTTGCCAGATGAAAGGTTGGGCCAATTGAACATAAATATCTTATGACTCAGTTATTATTTATGTTATATTTTAAAATATTTTTATTTCTATCATTATTACAGGGCAAGGTGGCTATGGTTATTTAAAAGAATGGTTATGGTGGGCTGGAATGATATTGAGTAAGTTCTGCAGTATATTTTATGTAAAATTGGGAATCTTTTAAGCCTCCATAGACTCCATACCCACATCTTTACATCTTTTTAGAAGACTGACTGGACAAACCTTTTTTTCTGTTATCACTAATATAAATCTATTTACAGCATATAGCATAGAGAAATTAACCCACTAGCTTTATTTCATTGATTATTTTAACACTTAACTGTTTTCTCATTACAGTGACATCAGGGGAATTTATGAATTTTGCAGCCTATGCATTTGCACCAGCAACACTAGTAACACCTCTAGGTGCTTTAAGTGTTATTATAAGGTTAGTGTATATATATCTCTCAAAGAAAACATGACAAGTTAAAATGTCACTCAACACAAACTGGATTAATTCAGGACTAATGTATAGTACAGTTTTCTTTTAACAATTCACTTGCAAGTGGGGGTCTTTTGGAGTGGAGAGAAACCAGAGGTCCCGGACATGAAAACCCACATGGTTGGACAGGTGACCCTTCTCTTTGTCACGTACAAGTGTGGATTGAAACTATGCTGCTTGACTCAATGACAGACCTCATGATCTAAAATGTACACATATGATCAATCGGCCACCAAACCTCCCATATTTTTCAAATTTACTATTCTGTGATTTACAATAGCTTACACAAAATAAAGATTAGAAGTAAATATTGGCCATCTAGATATATATTGGATATTTGTTTGAATATTGTAATTTAGAAGTTTTAAGATTTCTGTTTATAAAATATAAATAGATATATGTGGTTGTCACCACAGCTGTTTATGAAATAACAAGAATATTGATATGTTATTATTCTCACAATACTAGGACAGTTCAATACTTCTAGTCCTGGTATAATTTATGTATTATCGGTTCAATGGCTGGATGTATTAATCTATGGATTCTGAAATTGACATGGATCTCATTATCCAGTCTCAATCACAGAATATGTTCATTACTTATAAACAATAAGGGTGACCTGCACAAATCACTGGTACAGTCAGCCATATTGTGGAACTTCGGCCCAACTGATATCAAATGAATTGTATATACATGTACTATGGCTACAATATTAAACAGTTTATTTTGCAAGGCTCATGTCCAATATACAAGTACAACATCAATCAATATCCAATATACAAGTAGATATCAATAAATATCCAATATACAAGTAGATTATCAATAAATATCCAATATACAAGTAGATTATCAATAAATATCCAAGTAGATTATCAATAAATATCCAATATGCAAGTAGATTATCAATAAATATCCAAGTAGATTATCAATAAATATCCAATATACAAGTAGATTATCAATAAATATACAAGTAGATTATCAATAAATATCCAATATACAAGGAGATATCAATAAATATCCATTAATAAATATCCAATATACAAGTAGATTATCAATAAAAATCCAATATACAAGTACACCATGTGTAAGAAAAACTGCCATATATTCTAAGGCCATATTCCAATGAACATTTATTTTTCTAACAAATTGAAAAATAGGGATAGTTTAAAAGTTATAGTGAGCATACCCATGACTTTATATTCAGAGGTTTCATTAGTTCTTTCAAAATGTGTAGCATAATTGTGGAGTACCTTTTGTATAAATAAAAAAAAATTAACAACTTTTGAACCTTTTAGTTGAATTTAAATTCATTTGAACTTTAGAATAATGTAAATTTGAACTAAAAGAATAATTTGAATATACATAAAATTTAAAGATGTATTATTATTAGATTATATAATATCTGGTTGTGTTAGACTGTGTTAACATCTTTCTCTATAATATTCAGGTTACTAACATAAATAATACAGCTTGCAACATATCCTTTTACATAGATTTACATGTTTTCAAGCACGCAGTAGTAATACATTAGAGATAAAACCTGATATTTAATACTTGACTGCTATAAATTTAAGTCATAAAATGGTTTTATATGTCAGTGCTATCAATAATCAATATAGAATAATGACTCTATGAAGATTTACAATCTACAGGCCAATTCAAGTCATGATCAATAAAGTTTATATGGAAATAAACGCTTGGGTCATAATTTAATTATAGACCTTTAATATAAACATACTTGATACACAGAGAATGAAACAAACTACCAATAGTCTATTTACAAACAAAATGAAAGTAGAGAGATAATGTGTGTATTTCAGTGTGTATTACTGTGGATCAATGTATGATTTTGTTTATAATATATTTCAGTGCTGTATTAGCATCGTGGAAGTTAAAAGAAAGATTAAATCTATGTGGTAAAGTTGGATGTCTATTATGTATATTAGGATCCACGGTTATGGTTATACATTCACCAAAAGAACAGGAAGTAAGAGATATGGAACATTTACTGGATAAAATAAAAGATCCGGGTAATTCTGCTATTTCTTTTTTCTGTTATAAGTGCGATTTACAAGGGTTGAATTTTTCATTCTTCAGAATTGATCTGAAGAAATCTGAATAAGCGTGGCCATAGTAGATTAAAACTACACTTTGACTTAGATATATATATCAAGGGGTTTTAATAGAATTTCTGGATGACAACAAAATATGTAGAAAAATAAATACCTACCAGCCTGTTCAGCCTCTGGTACTGTTTTAAGGGATAGGTGTGTTTTCCCCCACCCCTTTCTCAAAATTAAGTTTTTAAAACTTGCTGGGATTGTTCATTGAGGTATAAGGAAGAACTCATCAATTTTCATTAATGTCTGATTTTAATTTACACAATTTGTTAACAATAATTTTACAGCTAGCACAGACAACTTTGCTGCTGCTGGGCGTACTCTTAAGTCATAGAAATGTTACCTTTTAGGTACCTATGCAATTGTGTTTAAAATAGATAATAGGAAAATGTAGACGTTTTCTCATTGACAAAGAAATTATTATAGTGATAGACTAACCCAAACTCAAACCATCTGGGCTCTTGTTATTCTCATATATTGTATTGTCATTGATTTTTACTTACCCCTCATATGTTATCTTTGATATCGATGCTGTATCAAAATACTTGCCTCGTTAATGGTTAAAACTATTCTTATTTCATTTATTACGGGTTGATTTATCACTATCTCATTTTTTCAGTCAGAAGAATGATCTAAATAATCTCACTAAAATTATCTTTAATATATACATATAATTTTCTTTTTTTATCTTTTCAGTTTTTATTGTGTTTGCCGTGTTAGTTGTGTTATCAGCTTTTATTCTAATGTGTTACTTCGCGCCGAGATATGGTAGTCAGAATATGTTAATCTACATCAGTATATGTTCCGTCCTTGGATCCTTCACCGTCATGGGTTGTAAAGGTCTTGGTGTAGCCATTAAAGAAACATTTAACGGAAGGAACGAGTTCACGAACCCTTTAACTTATATTTTACTTATAATTGTTGTGGCGTGTATTTTAGTTCAGTTAAATTACCTAAATCGTGCATTAGACACTTTTAACACAGCCATTGTAACACCCATATATTATGTGTTTTTTACTTCGGCCGTAATAGCAGCATCGCTTATTTTGTTCAAAGAATTCTACAATATGCCTGCTATGGATATTGTTGGTGACTTGTGTGGATTTTTCACCATTATTGCAGGAATATTTTTGTTAAACGCTTTTAAAGACTTGGATATTTCATTGGCCAATTTACCCAGTCTACGTAAGGATCAAAATAACTCGAATTCTAATGGTGATATTAGCGCAGCCTTGGATAGAGAGCGTTTAATCGAGGACGATGTCCTTACACAAGTGACAGAATATGATGACGATAATTTTACAGATGATCATAATCAAAATCATATCATATTTTAAACTGATGATACACCTTCAGGGTTGGATAATGTTGTGGTGAGGTTCCTGATAACTTATACTATGTGTATTTATTGACCAAAAATATGTGTGTATGTTGATTATAAAACACATTTAGTGACTGGATTTGTTACTGTTTTAATAAAGGGAAAATAAAGGGAAATAATGGTTTTAGCTGACGTTATGTCAAACACTACCGAACTAGGACCTGTTCAGAACATGTATGAATAATATCAATAAAAACACAAAAAAAAGGAAAAATCAGTGCCGAACAAAGTAACAGACACAAAGGGGTTTGTGTCTGACATTGCTTGAATTTAAGCCTGGCAAAATCTGTGACAGGTGCCTTATTTCCAGGCTTGCAATGTAGGAACTTTTGGTACTCGGACATTGTGAGCAAATATTGTGATAAATTGGAACATAAAACATTACCTCATTTAAGCGATGAAATCCATTGGATGCATAGTTATAGTGGATCAGTGAGGTCAGGTCTAAATATTAAGGCCACCCGCAGATTTCGTCAAGGTCACAAGATGTAAATAGGGTTAGTAAATGTAATTGTTGATGAGATTGTGGGTTAGGGTAAGGTCTAGGTTATGGTTAGCGCTAGCCATGTTTACATCTGCAGGTGGCCTTAATATTTAGACCTAACATCTGAAGTATATTCATTGCACCCTGTCCCCTAGATCATTATGCCCTGATAGCTGATTGGTAGTAAAAATTTGCTCTAATCCTATAGTCACAATTAACCAGACTGTTTCTAGTTTAAGGTTGCACAATACACTTTTTATCCATCATTGTTGAGCTTCCAAAACCTTGTAACTCACATGTCAAAATCTTTTAAATCCTACCCATATTCACTGATCCAATGCCGATTTAAAGCATGTGACTATTTCGCATATTGGTTCCTAATATGTCTCAGTAGTGTGATGAGAATATACATATTTCTCATGTCACCCCTCCTTTTGAAGAAAATTGACTGTTAACATGAGTTTTGCCTTCTCGCTCTGTCCCACTTTTTGAGACACAATAACTTAGTGTAGGTGTTTACATGTATTCGGTGAATTCCTTGATGAGCATTTTCCATTAAGGCTGAACAGAAATAAACAATTTTGGAACTCTATTTTAATTGAGTGAGAGTGATGAAACTTAGAGTATGGTTTTAAATTTTGTATATGTCAGTTCACATTTGTCACATTACTAATCAAAACAAGATATTTGATCAGATTTCTTTTTGTTTTAATTCAGAGTGACGTATATACTGTTGTGATCAATAAAATGTTTGTTCAGCAGTAGAATCAGTGTTATTTAAATTAGAAATATTTACATTTGTCCACTCTTGCCATGGATATTTTTTATTTTGATTCTCAGATACTCCTACATCACTTAAAAAGATCCTCATATTTTCCATGTTTATTGGAACTAACTATAAAAAAAATAAATGAAACAGGAAGTGTTTGGTATTCTCAGTTATCAAGTACGCAACCCTGTAAAAGTTATTGACAATCATAAATAATACTGGATAATCATACTATAAACAAGAGGAGATAAATGTAGAACCTTGAAATGCAATGTTTGTGATAAGTCAATTAGCCACGTGATCCATTAAAACAAAAATAAAAACCTCCATCTTCCATCTGATTTTTGCGAAGGTTTGTCTGAGAACAGAATATTGTATAGCCTAATATATTGGTACCTAAACTCAGTAGTATTCATAATATTTGAAATTTAAACACTAATTAGGAACGATAACTCCTCCATTTCAATCAATATAGAACTGTGTTATATTATGTTCAATCACTAAATGCCATTCAAAGATTATATTGATTTTGTTATCTTGCCGTGAAAATATGGGATCCTAATATCCAATATTAAAATATATTGAACATGTTAAAATCAGTACACAAGTCGTGTATTCTACGGTTTTGGGCGTAATTTACAATGAACAGAGACAAACATCCTAGAAGTCAATTAGTACCGACAAAATAATAATAAAAGGTGTAGAATGAACTAAGCAGGTAACTGTTGTCAATTTGGACTGTCTCATATTTCAATGAACATAATTGATTAGAAAATTACAATGAAATTGTTAAAAACTCACTTTATATCCATTCATATTGCATTAATATGTGCTTTAAGACACATATTCGTCTATTTTAAGGTTCCAAAGAATAGAGCCATACATCCTTTAACTTTATAATAGCAGTATACAATCATATGTTTTATCACCTCATCATTACCTTCATATTCATCAAAACATGTACCTTGCAATCAATCAATGTCTCTAGTTTGCCAGGGGGTTGGATGGCCAAATGGTTAGCGTGTGCGTGCTGTATCATAAGGTCTGTCATCGAGTCAACTGGCGAGGTTTCGATTTCTGTAGTTGTACATGATGAGGAGTAGGGTTGCCTGTCCAACCTCGTGGGTTTTCTCTGGGTCCTCCAGTTTCCTCCCACTGCTAAAGACCCCTACGCGCAAGCGAATTATTGAAATTGAATTGAACCATGTGTTAGTCCCGAAATGACTTAGTTTGTTTCGATTGGACGTTAAACCCCATTTCTCTCTCTCTCTGTTGTTTGCCAATCTAAAGTCATCCCCATGTATATACTTGAATGATTATTGTAATAATGTAAATAGGTAATTGTTTTTATTGTTAGTGATGGTCACTAGAAGCCTTTATGCCATTTATTATTGCATGTATTATGGTTATTTTAATATTACTGTATGTTACATGTAATTTATTATTGAGGATGTTATGTAAATATATTTTTGACATTGTTGTAATAATAATAATAATGTTACTGGAATATATATTGAATTATACTGTTGAAATGCAAATATAAATTGTTTACTGAATTCAATAACTACTGAATATATAATAATGGTTGCATTGCATGTAGTGCAGGGTATGCATACTATTTATACTTACTTCCACTTCTATGTGAGAACATGAAGGAAAATATATTTTACGCCCACATTTTGATATGAAATAAATGGGGTTTTAAGGGTTTTTTTAACATCCAACTTTCCTGCACCAACCTGGATAGTGAAGACAGATATATTTATGCAGTGTTCTATGAGGGAAACCTTGACCAGACAGTGGTGCTATGGCCTACTCTTATGTGATAAGGTTCTTTCTTTTACATGCATGCCAACATATATACATATACTGGACCTCAATTTTCTGTACCAACCGAATGACTAGTCCTCCATCAATGAAAAGGGGTAACCACGCCCACAGCAGTATCAAACCTTTGACCTCCTGGTTAGTGTGTCATTGCCTTACCTACTCAGCCACCATTTTCATTTAGTTTATATTGGGGGTTGAACGATTTACCCTTTATACCACATTAATTACCTACGTTATAGTTAGTTTGGGCCAATTAAAACCGATTCCTATCCCCAGTTGCCATAGGGAAGGGACATAACTCGTGTATAATTTTGTAGCTAGGTGGGCTGGCTGAAAAGTTCTAAGCCTGTCTGTGAAAGTCCTTTACAAAGTCGATGGTTTCCGTTTATTTTTCTACGTAGTCCCCTTCGAGGTGTTTACACTTTTACCAACCGGCCTGGATGCAGGTCAGGACCACATTTTCTCAGGCCCGTAGCCAGAGGGGGGCAATGCTGTAGACTGTGCCGGCTGTGCCCCCCCCCCCTAAAAACCTCACTGCCCCTCCGAAGCAAGCAAGCTGGCTACGGGCCTGCATTTTCTTCAGCCACCTTTCAGCTGACATGACGTCATCATTACTAGGAAAATGACGACTGGCTAGTTTCTATTTAATTTTTGGAAACGGGTTTCGTCCTTGGTTACCATTCTGACTAAAAAATTACCAGGATCTCCTTCAGAGCGGTGCAGATTGTCACGGGTCGTCAGGAATCTGACATGTTTCTGATCCACAGTCAAGAGTTTTGGCACCTTTCTTGAAGAAACTGTTGTCATTCCTAACTATTTGGCGATAATGTGCTCAACCCTCTCATGAAAGATGCACATAACACTGGCAATATGTCGAGGGGTCCATCGTAGATCAGTAATGTTTTATTGAATGGTTGCTGTTGATAGCCTTCCAGGACGCGAATCATCGTCAAGGCCCTTTGCCATGTTTAAATTTCACAGCCCATATCTTTACCGTGGAAATGGAAGGGGCATCATCCCTTAAAGTGGAGACCATGTCGGCATGTATCTGTGTTGGGGTTAGTCCTTTCAATTGCAGGTACTTCATGACTGGCCTATAGCTAGTTTTGTCCATTTCTGGTAATTTCTGTGGATATGTTCACAAAATGGCCTGGTACAAAGACAATAATAACACAAAAGTTGCAGTTCTTATGTCTATGATTCATGCAATGATTGTACTTGTTAGAGGCCTTGTTTCAACCCAATTGATCTATCCTTTGCAGGCTTAGAACTTTTCAGCCAGACCCCCTATCAGACCAGGGCCATTCTTTTCTTTAGTAGCAGGTCAACTTAAAAATGTAAAGGCTGTCTTCATTGTTACAACGCTTGTCAGTCCAAAAATATCACCCCTCCTGTTTTCTCACGACTATTAATTTTTTAGCGTTTTCCTTATTACTGTTAATTGTTTGACGTTCTACGTGTAAACTCGTTACAACTGGCATCAAGAAACGTCATTCAGCAATTGACCACCGTCACGATAGGATTACCTTTTTCTTGTGTGGTTTTTTGTTTTGTTTTTTGAGGGGGGGGGGCTGTTTTATTGTTAGTTTATCATTTTGAGTGAAGCCTGTATGATTCCATGCCAGGGACTGTAAATCGCATTGGCTGCTTCCTGCTGGTCCCCGAATCCATTCACATGATTTAGTTTTTGGGGTTTTTTTTTATGTCTGTATAGTTTGTGTCTTGTCCGCGGGTTTGTCATATCTGTTTTGTTGGCGTGTAGTGCGGTTCCCGTTGCACTAACTAGTAAGTAAACCTTGGTTTCCACACAGACAAACATTCCGGAAATTAAAGAATTGTTAGTAATAAAAACACAAACAACCGAAATTCAAATTGACCATGTTTTATTACATTTAATGTAGTCTAACTAAGAGGATTGGGACATGATTAGATCAAGTCCATCAATAAACGTGTTTTAACACTGGTAAGATTTACAGCTACAGGATTGTGGTAAATATAATTCTATTTCTCTGATCTTCTTGTCCTGTGGTAAATTATCACAATAAGCCCACATTGATACCCAACTGTAATTCTCTGTACATTTACTTACTCCATTTCCAGAAACCTTACAGCTCTCACATTCATCATGACTGAAATACAAGTTATAGGAAACTATGAAAATGATTATTCAAGGGTTATCTAGATATTCGTCTGTGATTAAAATCAGGAAATCAATGTAACTAAGACAATAAAACAAAATTCGTCTGAAATCTTTTGAGACAAAAATCGTACGAGGATTTGCACTAAAACCTGGTATTCGGGAATTTAACTTGTCCTCGATGTGATGGGAGATAACTGCAAATGGCATAGCAGAATATTTACTGGCTTCTTTTTTGTACGCGACTTCCTTAATTCATCCATGTTTACTTCCAGACCCTTCCGCCTCAAAATCGCTAAAACTTGGTCAAAAATAAACACACTTCTTCGATTTTAGACAAAAAAGTAAAACATGCCATTCCAAACCGGGGGAAAGGCAGAAATAGAGTTGCTACAGACGCGCTGCATTCGTCTACCATGAGTTCAGGGGAAGCACCATCACGAGAGATCATGAGCAGCACCATCACGAGATCAGGGGAAGCACCACCACGAGAGATCGGGGGAAGTAATCACTAGTCTTAATCCATAAATATCAAATGAAAGCTATACAAAAAATATAAATTTACTAAAGAATAATTTTCACTGTTAAACTCATATTGAACAACAGATGAGAGATTCGTCAATAATTCAAATATTAAGGAATGTTTAGACTCACCCGCATGTAGCGTATTTAATCATCTGTTGAGTTGGTTCTATAACCCAACAATTTCCACTATAAGCTGAGAATACACGAAGATCGTTCATAGTTGCTGGACATACTTCACCAATAGGTTCTACCATTTTCATCATCTGTGGTTCTACACGATACGATCTTTCAAATAGAAAACAATATGAATAAATTTCAAAATAAGAGAGAGGGAGAAATGGGGTTTAACATCCACTCGACACAAACTAGGTCATTTCGGGACTAACACATGGTTCAATTTTATTTCAACAATTCGCTTTCGCGTAGCGGTCTTAAGCAGTGGGAGGAAACCGGAGGACCAGGAGAAAACCCACGTTGGACAGGCGACCCTACTCCTTGCCATGTACAGCTGGGGAATCAAATTTCAAAATATTGATTCGCTGAAAATCTGTGATAATTTTTCGTCAACTTTTTAAATCGTCTTATTTTGGAGATTTCTGATGCTTACTGGATTATCAGTCTGATATTTTCTTTAAATTCGAACCGTCATGGCTTCTTTTGCGTGTACGCAGCGAGTGGGAAACCATTCCTGAAAATGTCCGAAGTTTCTTGTCGGTCCACACTGGCATTCCAGTTACTTCTAGTAGATTTATAATGAATAAAATGGGGTTTAACATTCTACTTTTCTGCACCAACCGAGCTAATGCTGCCCGGGTAGCAATTGCCAAGGTTGTTTTTACGTGGCCTCAGTTTTTCGTCCCATCCAAACGACTAGGCACTACCCTTGTCAGGCTCCCCGTCCTTCATCACGGATGGTGGTGGGGGCACGCAGGAATATCCAGGGGAGCTTTTGTGGCGAACATCGGGATTGAACCCAGGACTAGTGAATAAAATATCATTACCTTTTATGGCGGTAATGAGGAGAACCGTAATGATATCCTTGAGCGGCAAATCTGAGATTGGTCAAACTTCTAGCAGTGTAAGGGTTAAAATTATTTGCATACGGGCTGTATCCATTATGAACTCCATATCTGTAGGGTGTGTATCCACTTTGGCGATTGTAAGCAACGGCTCCAGGATAACTAAAAAGAATGCATGATTATATCTAATATTAGGTGCAGGAGGGCCGCACTACACACAAATCTACAAGATAGACATTGCAAACAAATAAACAAATATCAAATCAAGTGAATGGATGAGGGTGCCAGCCGTAAGCGTCCATTGCGCTGTACAGTCCCGGGCCTGTAAGGATACAGGTTCACTCAAAATTAAAAAAACTGATATACCAAAAAAGACGACATAACAGAAATAATACGACCGATCTTTGTTTTAAGTAGTAGCTATAAACTTCGAGCCATAATCAGAGTTTATACTCGTGGGTGCTCAGTATTTCTTCATGATTACAGAGTTGGTTGGGGGGGGGGGGGCTTTTTGTATTGCTATTCGCGCATACTGCTCTTCAATAGATATTGTTTATTTGGGAAGAATTCAAGTTATTTATTATTTACAAGCGAAATAACCATAACATCAACATACTTAAAAGTACAATTCCCATTTGCATGAAGGATTACTGCGGAGGGTAAGTCTTTCGAGTGGTACAAAAAAATTGAGGTCCAGTGTATACACAATTTTCTTTTTAAACCGTATTCATCCGAATTGGTGTTATTAATATATAAATATGCGAATTTTCGTTTGTAAAACGATGTTGTAAATGGCCGTACTTACGTAGGATAAGGCCGGTTGTATGGAGTAACAAGGGCTTGAAGCTGAGCATAAGTAAATCTATTTGATCTTTTTCTAATGACATGACCATTACCATACTGGTATCTAGGTGTTCTATTATATGGTCTGTAGCCAGGATATCTAAAATAGTTCAAAACATATTTTATAATCAACTGTCTTTACTAATCGATATTTTGTCGTCGTCAATATGCTTCTTAATAATGATAGGATATTATATTCCATTTAGTGTGGAATCATTATAACTATCTTCAAGGCACAGATCCCATTACTTACTATCTAATTAACATTAAATAATGATTTCCTTTGATTTTTTCTTCTGGTTTATATTACATTGTAATCTATTCTATTTCCTACCAAAACCGAGTTCGGCCAGATAGTTCGATGTATAATGATCAACTAGTCCTAATACAATCATAAACCCACAAAAACCACGCTTATAACCAGGCCTATTATAAACCGTAATCCAAGCGAAATTACTCTTTAAACCTATATGCACCCGGGTTTTAAAATTTCCATAAAACGATGCCCTGGATACCAATGCAGGTAATTTTATTAGTTAATAAGATACTTACTGCTATTAATCTTTTAGAGGCATTTAGTAACGGGATATATAAAACAAAACACTTTAACATGTACTTATGGAAAACAGCCACTAAATTAAGTGTGTGTTATAGGTTATTATTATTACTAATTAGGGTTTAACCGTTTCCACTGAGGGTGATATCAAAAGCAAGTCTTCCCGAAGCAACTTGCCAAACAGGCATTAGACCACTTGATCTGAACACCCTTTTCAAAGAAAATATATCAGATGTCAATGTATTGCATCAAATTTGATATAGAACTAAACGTAATTTACATTTTATTTTAAGATTGAATTTCTTGTAATGACTTTATATATTACATACTTTTTCTTTGTCAAGTTACACCACCCCATGTTGTTCCAATGCAATGAGGCTGGGTATTAATTAGGAAAAATATACTTACCTTCGAGTTTCTCGGTGGTATGGGGTTGCAAGTTTTCGCAGTTGTTTAAAAGACAATTTAACCGCTCTTTGAACAATGGGTTTCTTTAATTCAGATTTATAATTTCTAGGCGTTTGCTCGACATTGTATCGGCGGTAAGCTTGGTATCTGTTAGGTCTAAACCGTCTTCTGTTGTTATAAGCAAATCTTCCAGAATACCTGAAAATAATTCTCTAACTATGAAATGACAGTCGATTAATTATTTAGTAAATGGTCACCTCCACGGGTTAATCTTTAGACTAGATCAAACCATACTCGAATAAACTTTTCACCATGATCTGATCCGTAAAATTATATCCGATATCTGTTATCTTTTTCTTGCTACTTTGTCTTTAGTGATCGGTACAGTCAATTTGTATAGTAATGGGACTGGATACACTGATTCATGCGCAAACAAAAACTGTATTTGTTTCAGCTACAAATGGGATCTTACTAAAAATAATACTTACCTATAAAACACTGATAATCTCCTATATACGCAAGTTATCCCAATCCCTATAATTATTTGTTATTTAGCTCGTCATACTTACGTAGGATAAGGCCGGTTATATGGAGTAACAAGGGCCCGGAGCTGAGCATAAGTAAATCTATTTGATCTTTTTCTAATAACATGACCATTACCATACTGGTATCTAGGTGTTCTATTATATGGATTGTATCCGGTGAATCTGAAAACGTCGTAAGAATAAATATTATGTTTGAAACCTCTTTTATTAGGGTCCTTGTATCCAAATAACTGTATGTTATAGCAGAATACATAGAAGTCGCCCAATTACAGTAGCATAATACCGTGTACAACAGAACTATATATCCAACATTTGTTAACCACGCGAAATCCTGTGGTCCATATACAAAGAGTAAGCATACTTCTTTTTGTATCAAATGACTATTTACAACAATTGACCATGGAGATTATATAACTAAACATGTGACTGGGAATTTGCACTGAAACCCAGATCATTTCACATTTGTGCCAATAATGCCATTGAAGATAAAAAAATATGTTTAGAAGTGGGCTATATTAATTTGCCTACCTTTGACTAGGTCTTTGGTATGGGGCCACCAATTGTCTCAGTTGTTCATACGTTAGTTTACCTGAGGTACGAGCAAACGGTTTACTTTGTTCAGTATTAGTAGTTGGTGTCTGGGCACCTGCCTGAGGAACAACAGGAGCAACAGAGCTTCCAGGTTGTGGAGTGTGGGGATTTTTAGGAGCTGTGTTTGGGTGCACCATTCCTGGGTAGTAAGCAGGACGTTGAGGCTGAGGATATGAAGGGTTTGCTAACTGGGCTCCGGGGTAATTGGGAGGATTCTGTTGAGATGGACTACCAATAAAAGATCCCGGTATGTTCACGCGATGTTGGAACTGATTTTGTCGGGGTGTTTGATGAGGTGGCATCATTTGTTGATAAGGATTGATTCTACGCTGATAAGGATTTTTTGGTTGATATGCAGCTCCTGCATATGCTGTAGGGATATATTTTGGACCAAAACTTATTGTAGGACGGGAAGACTGGTTTGGTGGGAGATTTACTCGATGAGCTGGTACTTGGACCGCCGGAAATGGAACTTTGTTAATATCTGGAGCATCATTCTTCGCGGCTACCGTTCCTATTATGTTCTGCAGAAACTCTTGTAATTCTGTTCGACGTCCATATTCTTGTGCTATGCCAGCTCTATAGAAATAATAATTCACATAATTCACAATTCGAGATATATGTTAAATTTGCATGAGCTACTTGTATTTGAAAAGTCGTTTTTATACAATTAAAGAGAGAGTTAAGGGCTAAAAGTGTTATTTGGATTGTAATTTACACAAATAATACAAACCAAAAAAACCGTAATAGATGGATATACATGTCGTGGGTCGACAATACATTACAAATTTTTTAAATCAATAGTGTCAGATGGACACAACTTTCAACAGATTTGATCGATTATAATAATATTTGGACCAATTTACTGCTTATTGTCTGAAAGTGGATTTTTTACGTTTATTGTATATGATCTGAAAGTCTATTTGACGTTTATTGTATATGATCTGAAAGTATATTTTTTACGTTTATTGTATATGATCTGAAAGTCTATTTGACGTTTATTGTATATGATCTGAAAGTATATTTTTGACGTTTATTGTATATGATCTGAAAGTCTATTTGACGTTTATTGCGTATGATCTGAAAGTGTTTATTGTGTATGATCTGAAAATCTATATTTGACGTTTATTCTGGAATATTGGGCTTGGAAAAAATGTTGGGTATGCAGAAACTCACAAAGAAATCTCTAACCTCTACATCAACCCATTTCGCTCTAATTAAAACTTTATCTGATTTAAAATTATTTTACAACCAAATATTTATGAAGTTACATATCCTATAGAGTGTGTAAATATATGTGAATACTTACCGTGGATAATCTTCTGATGCAGATCCGCGGAGGTTGTAAATTTGAGTCAAATCAATAAACTGGTAACATTGGTTAGAATTGGCCTGGGAATGATCTTGGATCTGAGCCAAACTATTTACTACCAATAGTACTAGTAGAATCTACAAACGTTTAAATAAAAGGACTGTTTACCCACTTGAAACCCATGGAATATCGGTCATAGGCGATCAAAGGCTTTTTTTAAACGTTTAAAGAACTAAAACGGCCTATAATTAAACACCTATACACTCAATTAAACCGAATCTATTCAGATTCCAATTAAACTGAATAGCACTAAACCCAAATATAGATATAGTGAAGGCAGCTTAAGAAGCAGAATTGTTGTTCACATTTGCTGTGGATGAAACTTTATCTAATTAAAATTGGACCTTTCTTTGTTTCTTTTCCGTTTTTATACATAGATTGTCGGGGCATTTTAACAAGCAGAATTATTATCCAAATTTGCGACCGACTACATTTAATTTATTTAAAACTAGACCTTACGTTCGTTTCTTTTTCCTTGTTACTTTGCCTTACATTTACATTACAGTCATTAAGTAGTTTGTGTCAAAATGAAACGACCTTCCATTTAGCAAGTGGCAATGATCAGACGCTTTGACTTGGCAAGATTGATTTTAACTAAGTTCAAGTAAAATTAAAAAAGGACAGAGGACGGGTAGTTAGACTTTTAAGTAATTGAATTGGACGACCGTAATTTTCGCCATTTTCTGGTTTATTTGTTGATTTGTGTTTGAATAGGGAGAATTAATCATATCAAGAAAACAGAAAAATCAAAAACCCGACTGACGCATGTATATTTACAATTAAAGTCTATAAACGTCATTAAAGGTGGGATTGTTTCCCTGGCAAACTTCGATATTGTGAATGTTGAATCTCTTTTTAGGGATACCACCAAAAATGGTTCAGTTTCATTCAGTATTTACAAAGATATGATCAACTGAAAATTTGTCAACATTTGTCTTCAAAAGCCAGCACCTTCTATGAGTTTCGCTGAGTTTTGATGGGCAGATTGAATCCACGTCGGGAGATTATTTACCGTTAATAATTTGATTTTGTTTTCTTAATTAAATGTTAAACATTAAGTTTAAGAACATTTTATCCAGGATTAAATCTTGCAAAATTTAAAATCTTTCCGAAAAATGCACGGATACTTCAAAAGATATTAAATGAGCTTACCAGATTAACCGCCATGGTGAACTGCAGCCACGAATCGTCAAAGAGGATTTGCGAGATGGTTAAACACAAAAATATACAGCATTTTAATCCCCTTTTATATTATCTATTTAGTTATAAAATATTCGAAGGAAATAAATTTGACATGTTTTATTCATGAGAACAGCAAGCCATGGATATAATCACAGTATGAAGGTTAATCATGGGATGCTGTCTCACCAATTATGCATCTTCTAACATCAATTATTTCTGGACAATAAACATTTTATAGTACCATAACTTTAAAACTAACACCGAGATATCCATTTCTCCGAGGTGCGTCCTTGGCAACTATACTTGAATTTTATGAAATATAAATTTTGAATGTATTTATAGATCAATAAAATCCGATATAAATAAGGATAAGTATAAAGTTGTATTTTTCTCACGCAATTAAAATTCTTACATGTAGATCATTTATAGATTTGTGTGAGTTTTTGAGTACGTTCCTATAGGGGATGCACCGGGTTAGAAAATCACACTGTGATTCAAGAATTGTTAGCTATTTTAGGATAATAGTCGCCCCAGTATGGTTTTGGAATCTGTATTGTAAACGTGCACAATTATTACCACCCAAGTCTTTTGTTATACCAGAATGGGTTAGACTAGGAATATGTCTGTCCTGTTACGGATTCAGATGTTGTTACTATTACAAAATAGATTCCTATCCATCTGAAAATATCCAATTACCAGAAAACTTCTTTTAACCACAATTATTTATTATAAAAATACTTTGTCTACCCTTAAATGAATTAAAAGACTGTCTTAATGAATACAATGTTGTGGCACTTTCCCTACATTCTGGATTTTAGTAGTTTTTTTATGGCATAGGGAAAATGGGAGTCTGTGGGGTACAGGGTTAAGCAGTATGTTTAATTTAGAGAGATTTAATTTACAAAAGCAAAGTATTATCTTCCATTAATATTTTATTTTACAAAAAAAATAACACAAAATATTATCAAACGTTATCAAATTTCTATTTTATGAAATTAAATTCTAATATAAAGATTTTAACAGGTTTAACACCTCTAAAACATATTGTGGCATTCTCATTTATAAATATCCATATTGGAGGACTACCGTTGGGTTTTATTATCGCATTATATTTATGATCGATAATTTAATTTATTACACTGGGAAATCTTGTTCTTCTTACTCAGTTAATAATTCGACCTTTAATGTCATTTTGGGTCAGATAGGTCATGTCAGGACACCTCTTTACACATGCATAGATTAACATATTAAAATGCATTAAATGTTTGAAATTTATTGTGATTTATTAGACATAATTATCGATTTTTGTTCATAAACTGCAAAGTATGCAACTTCTGAAAATGTCATAAAAGTTGGCTATAACTCAATAAAATTAAAAGTTTTAAAGATTTAGTGTAACCAGTGAAATAACGACTAAAATATTGACGAGATTGTTAAGCTGACGATCAATTTTAATGGGTCTGTTTATGCCACCCATCTTGCAGTGAATAATTTAAAATCTGGAAGGTGTGCACAAATGTTAAGTAAATCGAAAGACACTACATTTGCATTGTTCTTAGTAATTGAAAGATCAATGTTCATGAACTCAGAGTGGCTTACTGCCTAATTCATATTTCTTCCAACAATTTCCGTACCATGCTGTTTTGGATAATGGGAAAGTATTATTTGACTGTAATTGAAGATATAATTGTTACTCTATTGACTGTTCCGAATTAGATGCAAGGCAAAACTCGGAAATGACCAATTTACTTGATAAGCGAATCATGTAGTCTACGTCACAGATGTTTGTCACAAGTGCGTTATGTATAGGATAAAGCACGAGACTGAGGTTATGCTGGGGAAAGAAAGACTGTAGAAAATAACCCGAGAAAAAGAAAAACCGAGGCCGGTAGGTCGAGGTTTTTCTGTCGAGGTTTTTTTTTCTGAAGTCTTTCTTTCCCTGCATATATCCAAAGCCTCCCCCGCCTTTCAGACCGCAAGTTATTCCGGGCATAGAATATACCCCAAAGATCAAAGAAATTTACCGTTACAGGTTTATAAGATGGAAAGAAGTCTGAATAGTCAGAGCCGAGTGAGTTATGATTATAAGAAAACTGGACAGTCAGAGCCGAGTGAGTTATAAGGGCCGAGACAGGGTTAATCTAGTTAGAACACCCCATAACACTTTCTTAAATAAAATGTTCATCTGTGGCCATGAATGAACCTTGTACTTTTCCCTTCAGTTAATTTTCGAAAAGTAGTTATGTTTTATCTTTAATTGGCTTATAAAATACGTACAGATAGGTCAACTTAAACGGTTACAAGAATTCTCGTCTAAACTGTTTGTCATCATCTGTTATCATTTCACGCACCGGCACTTTAAGGGATTGAAATAAAACTTCTTACTACTGCTTTACTACGACGTAAAAACCAACAAGAGATTCCACCATAAATCGACTCTGATTGAAAAAGAAACAAACTATCGGAATCTGCTTCTTTAAACCAGATAAATTAAATATCAGTCTAATAAAGAGCATTGTGTTTTATCTGAGACCTAGTGATCTAAATATTTATAACAATATTTATAAATGAACTATTCTAACGGTACTCCAAATAATCCTTTGAGGTTCACATTCTAACGGATATTGGAAAGAAAAAATCATATATTTCAATTAAATCATACAGTTCGACACGAATAAATACAGAAGCGTTCATTACTATCCGCTTTAATCGAAACAGTTCTTAGTCGTTTTGTCAAGTGATAGTTTGTCAAGCCTTCCGGTTTGATTTCCAAATTGATCTAACGGAAAACTGGAGTTCAAAAGTACTCAAACAATTGCGGTATATGAAAATGAGGGGACCGCGGTAGTCGAACGATCGGAGAACTGGACTTTTGGCTAGATTGATGCGGGTTCGAATCCCGGCGTGGGCCGAGAAGAACCATCGATATTTGTAACAATCTAAAACACAAAGTGATTTATTTGGGCGACGTTTCGAAGAGTATTCTCTCAACCTTATAATGTGTTATGTCCGTGTTGCTGAAAAGGAGGGTGTATCTAGTCAGTCTGAAGGTAGGTAAACGTAAAATAAATATTTGACAGTTGAAGATAGACGAGGAGCCAGTGGATAGTATATAAATATGAATTTGCTTAACTGTAAAAAAAAATCAAATAAATCTCCAAATCCTACACTTCAAAATAATGAAAAAACGTTGTATAGCTTATTTGACATACTATTTTGAAAACTATATCACTTTCGATGTTGTTTGCAATTTTAGCAAGAGTCGCTTATATCAACGCAACGTTCCCGATCAGGCGCTCAATCACCAATTCCTTTTACGAGTACATTTATCATAATCATAAAAGATAGCTGGATATTGGCCTGGCTTATAGTTATCAGTCTTAAATGTGCAGGGAGTTGCGATAGCACAGTTAGTAAGACGTTGGGTCGCTAGCCTGGAGGTCCCGTGTTCAATCCCGATGTTGGGCGAGAAAGGTCATCGGATTTTTCGCCGTGGTTCCCCTTTGTCGGAAGAGACAGTTGGAATTCGAAATAAGAGTAGGCCGTAGCGCCGCTGTCCGAGTCAAATTCTCTCATAACACACTGCATGGCGTATGCCCGTCTTCATTATCACAGTCAGTGCAGAGAATTTCACTTTACTTTAAGATGCATTATGTAAGTTATAAATAGTTGACAGTTCTCGTTATAATAGTTAAACAATATATAATGAAAAGAAGGTGTGTTAAAAATTTCAGTCTAATCACATTATTTTGAGCGGAGTTATTGTCGCTAGAAGAATAGTGCAATCTCGATTCTCATTGCTACCGTTGTTACGATAATATACAATGCCTCGATTATCCAGTTCTTAATTAAATCATTAACTCAGAATCGAGTTAATGACTTCTAGCTGGCCGGTCACCTCTGGCTTGCGGCTGTGACTAGGGGATGAGCGTATGTGACTAGGAGATAGGGGCGCCTTCTTAACCTCGTGGGTTTACTCCGCGTACTCCGGTTTCCTCCCACAGGAAAAACTCCTGCCTGCGTGTGCGCTAAGATAACAAAAATGAAAATAAGACAACTTGTCTGCGATATCACCATCGGTGGAAGCGGACGTTAAACACAAAGAAGGACAGATGGAACAAGCCATTCGTTATTTGTTGGTCGCCTGGATCAACCGATACTTAAGTCTGGATAACCAGCTCCCATTAACCAAACAATCGTATTAGACAGCTTTTGATTGGACACGAACAATAATGGTGACCTCTTAAATTAAAGGTTTGGAACCATTCCGGTCGACGATTTGATTGGGCTATAGTGTAAAAGAAATCAAATAAATTATACCAGTCTACACTAAGTATTGAATAACCCTGGCTTTGCGAAGATGTTTTTGTATCCTCTGTTATAATTATACTGTTATTATAAACATATTGTTTGTTTCGTGTTTTCTGAGGCTGATTGGCTGCATTGTCTCATGTTGACGTCATTTTAACTTTTGGTAAATCCAGAATGACCAGTTCGTCCTCGTGAACTTTCTGAAGAAATTATCTATGATATTAACGATTGGTGTATTAATTGAGCTCTGGTGACTTCGCGTCTTAACATTCTCAGTGAACCAGTGCAAGGGGACTTGTTTTTAGTAGACGCGTGTGGAATCAGTTATAATTGTAAATATCATTCTTGATAAGAATCAGATAATAACTACAAGTGTTTCATAACAATCACATGGCAACTGCAGTGAAAACAATTTTGATAAATTGATTTAATATAATGCTGGAAATTGGTTGTTGTCATGTGACCAATACCATCGACT